CCCATGGACGTTGCTTGTCAGAAGGTCACAAAAGGGGATCACGTGACTCCCCCCAGGGGACGCTGTAACCGTCATAAATGTGAGTCAGTTGCCAAGCATCTGAATGCAAATTACCTGACGCTGCAAGGGCCGTAAGTATGAAAAAGGGTCATAAATCATTTTTTTCCCAGTTGTGTTGTAACTTTGAACGGTTACTAAGTGAGCTGTCGTAAGTCGAGGAGGAGTGCCTGCACCTTTGGGACAGCCGTGTCCTGGAAGGTTGAGAATCTCCATTGGCCTGCTTTCACCCCCGCATCTTTTATTTTCAAAATTGTCTTGGTTTATCAAAATACAAAATGCAAAGAGAAATTCAGAAAGGAAATAGAGGGGGGGAGGGGAAAAATAACGTAAAGGGTTTGGAGAAAAAGGCAGTTGGCGCCTTTCTCTTTCGTCTCTTCCCCCTTGTTTTGCCTGCAACGTTTGCAGAGATTGGAAGGGGGTCTGTTCTGTTCTCCTGGGTCTGCTCTTCTCCCAGCACTGGTTTGCCTCTCTCAGTCGCCCTTCTTCTTTCCCGGCCCCTAATTCTCCCCATTGTCCTCCCCTGACCCCTTTCCGCTTCCCGTGATTCCTCCTGGAAGCGTGGCACCCCAGACCGGACTCCAGATGGGGGCTGGCCCACGCAAAGGAAAAAGGACAAAAGGATTCCCAGGACTTGCATTCTGCTTCTGTTGAGGCAGCTGGAAAAAAGAGCTGCCTTCGCCGTTTTTTTTGCAGCCCGTCTTCGTACCAGGCCCCTGACTCACGGCTTCCCTGCAGCCCTCTGCACGAGTCCCTGAGCCCCGGGGACGGGGCAGGGGGGGGGGTGGCATCTTTCCAACTCTGGGATTCCTGGGATAAATGCAACAGTCAAAGTTACCACATCTGGAATTGAAGTTGAAGTCTCCCCTCCAGCAGGGCCTCCATGTCTGGCCAGGTAGGAGCCCCTGGCTGGCTGAGGGATTTTTTTAAATTATATTTTTATCCTGCCTTTATTACTCATTCAAGTAATAAAGTAATTCAAGGTGATGAACATGCATAATATTCCTTCCTCCTGCTTGGGAGGAGTCCAACAGATGTGGGACAGGGCCATCTTCTGGAAGAAACATTGATGAAGCTCTACCAAAGCAAACTGCTTTCCATCCTCAACTGGAGAATTCTGGGAGTTGAAGTCCACTTCTTAGAGTCACTAAGGTTGAAGATCACTGCTCTTGACCAGGGGTCTCCAACTCGGCAACTTTAAGACTTGTGGACTTCAACTCCCAGAATTCCCTGAGACAAATGCATTCTTTTTCATGTGAATTCCTCTGGTGGCCTGCTTATTCTCTCACAATCCCTTCCTCTACAATCTCTCCGCTCTAGGGGGCAGGAGAAAAGAAACAGGAATGGCTGGCTGGAGAACTCTGGGAATTGAAGTCCACAAGTCTTAAAAGTTGCCACGTTTGGAGTTCCCTGCTCTAGAGCAAGGATTAGACCGCCCTCCATACTCTGGAGAGCAAACCCCAGCAAAAGATTCCCTGGATGAGGCCCCCAAAGCAGAGAAACTCAAGAGGACATTGTCCAGAAGAAAAGTGATCCTCTTTCCTTCCCAACAGAGCTACCTACTTCCGGAGCATCCAAAGGCTTTAAGTTAGGGGAGGACATTGCCCAGCCCAGTCGCCAAGGAGGCAAAGGACAGTCCGGGGAGGGTGGGGGGCGCTTCCAGCTTGACCAGAAAGGCCCCCTTCCTCTGCAAACGCTCAGCTTTTAAACGGGAGGGAAAGGCCCACAATGCATCTTAATTTCCACCCCACCCATCCCACCCTCAACCGGCTCCCCTTCCCTCCGTCTTCCCAAGAGGGCCCTCCTGACTCCCTCCTTTTTTCCGAGTTGGCCAAGGCTTCCCCCACCAGCTGCTGGTCAGAGGAATGTCGGAATGTCCTCTTTGCCCAGCTCAACGCCAAATTGGATTTGGAAAAGCAAACTAACAGCTTTTTCTCAAGCATTTCACACACGGTGGTGTTCCTCCTCCCTCTGCCGCCTCTTCTGTCCCAGCTGCCTTTAAGGAGCTTTTTCCTGGCCATCGGTTCTGCTCAGGCCGATCTGCTTCATGTAGCTTCTTGCAAGCAAGGCCCAGGGTGAAGGGGGCTTCCTTGCCCCCTCCTCAGATGGTCATGTTTGGACAGAGCCCTGAGGCAGATGCCTGGCTGAGGCTGCAAAAGTCTGGTGGGTTTTTTCCCCCCCTTCAAACCTTTCTTTGTTCTTCCTTCTTTGGGGTCCCAGGCATAGGATCCCCCCCTCCTTTTAAGGATCCTGCACTTCTTTGCTTTATTTCTTCGTCTTTCCCCACTTAGGGCTTGGTTGCTGTGACATTAAAAAGATGCTGACACTCTAGAAAGGCTGCAGAGAAGAGCAACAAAGATGATCAGGGGACCGGAGACTAAGACATATAAAGAACAATTGCAGGAATTGGGTCTGCCTGGTAGTTTAATGAAAAGAAGGACGAGGGGAGACGTGATAGCGCTTTACAATATTCGAGGGGTTGCCACAAAGAAGGGGGGGGCTCAACTGATTCTCCAAAGCATCTGAAGACAGGAGAAGCAGCAATGGATGGAAACTAATCAACCTGGAACTAAGGAGAAATTTCCTGACAGTGAGAACAATTAACCAGTGGAACAATTTGCCTCCAGAAGTTGTGTGTGTTCCAACCCTGGAGGTTTTCAAGAAGAGATTGGACAACCATTTGTCTAGAATGGTATAAGGTTTCCTGCTTGAGCAGGGGGTTGGACTAGAAGACCTCCAAGGTCCCCTCCAGCTCTGTTATTCTGTTATTCAGTGCTCCTTTGGCTGGCTGGGTTTATTTCTGAGAAATTCAGGGAGGCTGCAGGCAATTAAACTCCACTGGAAAGTTGACTGCCATCTTGGCTTGTTTTGAACCCAGCCGTTTATATACGACTGACTTGCCTTGCCAGGATTGGTGGAGGTTTGATTTTCGCTTTGATTAATCTGGGTGTGGGCTGCTGGAGAGGATGTCTTCTGATCTTTTTGTTTCCTTCTGAGCTTTTAAAATACCTCTTTAGAATGGTGTTAAGTGTGATTTATCTCTATGTGGCTATTGGTGGCAGATTTGTCTGAATGCCAAGCTCCCAGACCTTCCCAGTGTATGTTTTGGATTTAGTCTAGGATGCTTACCAGGTGAAACTATGGTCAAGTCTGTCCATGGGATGTGAGATTACAACACAGGGACAGACCCCCAAGGAGCAAGGTCTCCCTTGCACTGATGATGTTCCCTAGTTGGGTGATGAAACGCCTGTGAGGAAACCATCAAGGACCCCACATTCCTCCTCCTCCTCGCAAACCCCATTCTCTCCTAGCACTGATGATGTTCCCTAGGTGGGTCATGAAATGTCTGGATCCCAAAATTCAATCCTGGGCCCCAGAGACTCTTCTACTGGAACCCTAGCAGGGTGGTAGTAGTGAAGGTCCAGGAAGGTTCAGTTTGGCTGCTGAGAAAAGTTTTGGGGGGGCTGAGGATGCTGACATGTGAGATATCCTGTCCCACCTCTGGAGGACGGGTGCAGGTGGAGGCGGGGAAGACCTCAGGAAGAGGCTTTGCGTAGCAAAGAAACTAATGTCTTTTTTTTTTTTTGCTTATTTTTAATGTTGGGAAATGGAAAAAAAAAACACTTGTGCCTGGGGGTGCAATTTATTCCATGTAAATCAGGAGTCTGTTTCTTTTCCCACACTCCGGCCGGCTGAGAGCAAGATGAGACAGTATTAAAACACAAACAGCACTCAGACATCCCTCAAAGCCAACCCGCTGGCCGACCAGGGTATTTTTGGCCCGAGCTGATGAATCAGGAAGTTGGCATCTGGTCTGGAGGGTCACCCAGGGGGGCTGCGTTTTAGCCAGGATTCCACCCCGAAGCTTTTGTAAAAGGAAATAAACAAAAGGGAAACCACTGAGAAGGTACAAGACAGGTACAGCCGGAAAAATGAGCCCAACATTTTCGCTGCTAAGTGAGACATTTCTTAAGTGAGTTTTGTCCCACCTTATGACCTTCTTTGCTGTAGTTGTTAAGTGAATCACTGCAGTCGTTATATTAGCAACATGTTTGTTAAGCGAATCTGGCTTCCCATTGTCTTGGCTTGTCAGCTGGTTTGTCTGCAGGGCTGGCACAAAGCTGGTTTGTCTGCAGGGCTGGCACAAAGCTGGTTTGTCTGCAGGGCTGGCACCAAGCTGGTTTGTCTGCATTGCTGGCACAAAGCTGGTTGTCTGCATTGCTGGCACCAAGCTGGTTTGTCTGCAGGACTGGCAGCAGTGGGTCCTCACTGAAACGATGCGCAGAGCTGGGACCCAGATGTTAAGATGCCGATAGCCCAAGGGCTAACCAGCCACTCACTGCTGCCCTTTCAGTGGCCCTTTGGCCAACCTGGGGAGCAGGAGGGTCTTCTCAGCTGCCAGAGTTGGCTGGATGGTGGGCAAAGCTGCCCCTGCCTCCTCTCGCAGGCTGGTGGGCTTGTGGTGGCTCTCCTGCCCCTTCGCACCTGAACTGGTCCTCGGCTGCTCAGCCGGCAGACCCAGCCCAGGAGATCCGATGCCTGCCGGTCTTTCTCTGCGCTGGCTCGTTCAGAGCCTGCCTTCAATGGGTTCTTTTGTTGCACGCTGTCCAGAAAACTCTGGTTGCAACAAGTGTGTGTGTCTGTGTGTCTCTCTGTATACACAATTGGAGCAACATGACATTTGTTTATTTATTGTATGGCACATTCGCAGCCTATTTCAGTAAAAAAAAAAAAAAAAAAAGGAACAGTGGGTAAAATGCTTAACATAGACTATAAAATCTGAAGTCTTATCAGGAAGATGACAAACGTGTGTCTAAGGTGCAAATATAATTTTTTACTTCGTTAATCACAGCTAGGAAATCCCCATGACAGGCTCTGCTTTGACACTCTGACACTTTGTGCTGTACAACACAGCAACACGTTTGTAACTCTCTCCTTCCCAGGAGAAGTGCCCAGGGACCCCAGCCTCACCATGCCCGAAGGAGTCCACCGGGGCAGCACCAAGGAAAGAGGCAGCCCAGGTTAGTCCGTGCCCCCCCCCCCCGTTGCATTCACCCAGAGGCCTGGAAAAGGGAGAAGATCCTGGGGGTCCCCATGGGAGGGGGGAAGAGAACCCCTTCCCCAAATCTGGGCTCAGATTCTGATTTGCGTTCCAGGGTTTGTGGATTGCTATTGTGGCCGTTGCAAGCTCTACTTTCCTCCCCCCCCCCCTTGCAAAGCTTTCACGGGAGGGAGGTGCAGAGAAAGGGCAGGGTAGGTGGGTGGGGGGCCCTTTCTTTGCACACTGCGCCTCCCAGCAGGCCTTGCGAGAGAAACCACAGCTTTGAAAGGTGAGAAAAAACCCACAAAGGATGTGCAGAGACAGGAAGCAGATTTTTTTTTTATTGTTTTAAGAGTAAAAAGAACCAGCTGCCCTCCCCACCTGTGCTCCCCCTGCATTAGTGGCTGCAAGGTTGGGGGTCTTTTGGGGAAGTGACTGCAGACCCTGTTGCTTCCTCTCCTTCCTAGCAGCCCCCAGACCCTCCTCTACCTCCTCACTGGCGGGAATTGGGACCAAGATGGCGTCGGACCCCATTCTGGGCAGCTGCACCTCGGTGAACACCGTCTGCTCGGACAGCGACCGCCCCGTCAGCCTCAGTTCTTCGGCATCCTCCGCCTCTTTGCAGGACGGCTCCAGCGCTTTCGGCAGCAGCGTGGCGCTGGGGGCCTGCCCTACAGGCCCTTACTCCCAGCAAAACGGCAGTGACATCAGCCTGGATCTGACCCCCATGGCGCTGCTGGACCGGCTGGCCGACACTCCAGGAGACGGGCAGCAGTGCTGCGGCTGGGCGCCAGGTCCCGGCTGGGCCAAAGAACGCCGGATCAAGCTGTCCCATCTGGACCGGGTGGTGCTGGAGATTGTGGAAACCGAGCAGGCTTACGTCCGGGATCTCAGGAGCATCGTGGAGGTAGGAGGGGGGAGGGGAGAGGACGGGGGGGGGGTACTTTGTGACTCACAAAGGAGCTTTGGAGCATACAAGCATGCATCTCCTGACTGCAACTCTTGAAAGCAGCCACATCCTCTCTGGGATCGGCTGCAGTGTCTCAGTTCCTGGAAATTGACAGTCTGGGAGTTGACGTCCACCCATCTTAAGGCTGCCAGGGTTGAGCACCACTGGTCCAAAGTGGCATAATTCTTTGTCTGGCCTTGCAACAGTCCTGTGAGGTGGGCCAGGCTGGGGAGAAAGAACAGCTTACAAAAACTGTGTTCTTCCAGCAGCCCCCCCATTCAGCAACCCAGCCTGTGTGTGTGTGTGTGTGTGTGTGTCCATCTGCCTTCCCTCCCAGACTGCCCAAGAGCTCTTGCAGAAGTTTGCAGGTTGTCTGCTGTACCTTAATGGGGAGATGCCCCCCCTCTTTTCTTCCCGTACAGGATTACCTGGGCTGCATTTTCGACTGCGGACAAGTGTCTCTGAAGCCGGATCAAGTCGGTGCTTTGTTTTGCAACATCGAGGACATTTACGAGTTCAACAGGTGAGGCGAGTTCCACAGGTGCAGTGGGACATCTCTTGGCTCCGGCTGGGGAGGGGGGCCAGCTGGTCTTGGGGTTCAGAGCAGGGCAAAAGGTGCATTTGCCTGTTTGTTCATGTCTCCATTTTATTGGCCGCCCATCTTAACGCAAGTCAGCTCTGGGCAGCTCACAGTACAGGCAGCCCTGCTTTGAACGAGATAGCTCTTAAGTTTTGAGTTCTGCCCCCTTTTGCGCTCATTCTTACCGCCGTTGTTAATTGAACCACTTGCACTTGCTACCTTAGTCACATGGTCGTTAAATGAATCCGGGTTCTCCCCCCTTGACTTTGCTTGTCAGAAGGTGAATCACGTGATCCCGGGACGCTGCAACCGTCGTAAATACGAGTCGGTTGTCAGTTGAATTTTGATCACGTGACCCTGGGGGTGTTGCAACGGTCGTAAGTGGGGAAAACGGCCCTAAGTCTCTTTTTTCAGTGCCATTGTCACTAAACAAACGGTTGTAAGTTGAGGACCACCTGCATTAAAAAATAAGGCTGTATAAATAAAATGTCCGTGGTGATTGTCCTGGGCCGGAGGGGGAAGGCCTGGCCCCAGTCTTATTTTCTTTTGCCTGCCAGACAAGCCCCCTCCCCACCCCTCCCGAGTTTTTAATATCCCCCCAGGATCTCATCTGCGTTTCTGGCAGCCTTTCTTGTTTTCCTGTCGGGTTTTTTTTTTTTTTTTTTCTGGTGGCCCTGAATTCAGCAGACTTTTCTTCTGCTTTTGATTTTCGGGGAAGGGCCTGGAATTCAGCAAGGAAAGGCCAGGCATAAATATTTAAAAAGATGTCTCATAAAACGGGATCTCAAGTAAGTCGGCCTAATAACTTCTGGGGGATTTACGGCCATGTGAATCGGCTTAGGAGCAGCGCCAAGACTTTTCTGGGATGGAGGGGGGGGGAGAAGAGGGGGTCCTGGGGAGGGTCATCGCAGAGCTTTTCTTAGAAGCGTTGGTGGGTCCTGGGTCACCTGGTGCAGAAGGCGGCAATCGGCAGGATGGGGCGGCCGAGCAGAGAACTAAATCCTGTGGCCCAGAGGAAAAATAGTGTCTCCAGCAAGAGAAATAATTTCCTGGCCCAAAGGATTCTAAACGACGCACGGAGGTTAAAAGAAGCCTGGCGACTTGCCAAGCCAGGCGCCTCCGATGCCAGCCTTGACCGAAGCTGGGTAGCCGAGTCCCGCTCTATCCCCAAAGAGGGGGTCACCGTTGATGTTTGCCTGGCCTTGGGAAGACCTTGGCCAGCTTCTTCCCTCCCACCGTGGAGGTCTCCGGTCCTTGTTTTGATTCTTGGGGTCTCCGAGGAAAGCGGGCCAAAGACCCTGCCCGCATTTTGCCCATCTCCTGCAGCAACTGGGGAAACGCCTGCGCAAGATGGACACCAGTTAGGTGGGCCAAAACATACGAAGAACGATTGCAGGAATTAGGTATGTCTAAATTAATGAAAAGAAGAGTTAGGAGTGATGGGAGAGCCATCTTCCACAGAGAGGAGGGGGTCAGCCTCTACTCCAAAGCACCAGAAGGCAGGACAAAAAGCAACGGATGGAAACTCATCCAGGAGAGAAGCAACCGAGAACTAAGGAGGAATTTCCTGACAGTGAGAACAATTAACCAGTGGAACTGCTTGCCACCAGAAGTTGTGGGTACTCCAACACTGGAGGTTTTTAAGAGGAGACTTGTCTGAAATGATATAGGATGTCCTGCCTGAGCAGGGGGTTGGACTAGAAGGCCTCCAAGGTCCCTTCCTATTCTGTTATTTTGTCTGCCCATTTTGTCCAAGGACAGGGATGGCAAAACCCAACCTTCTCGGCCTCTGACCTTGAGACTGGACAGCTCAGGAGGACTTAAGCTTCTCTCTCTCCTGGGCTGGCTGGGGAGGAGACGACGGTCCTGCTAAAGGACAACAGCTGGACCCAGAGTTGGCTGGGGCTGCTTTGAACCTTGGTTAGCTGCAAATGGCGAAAAATATTGGAGGAACATGAACCGATCCTGGGTTAATTCTCCATCCCTTTTTAGTTCCCCACCGTATTCTTGCAAGAAGAATAAATTGGAGAGCAATGCTGAATCCAGAGACTTCCCCCCCATCCACTCCCTCCCTGCCTGCCTGAGGACGGTGCATTTAATTTCTCTCGCTCCATCGTCCTGCCTTTGCAGAAAAATCTCTATTTTCCTTGCTTCAGCATCTTGCTTTCCGGTTCATGGAAATACACTCCCTGACTCGCCGCTGGCTGGTGCCAGACTCTGAAACGGCATCTTCTTTTCCAAAGAGAGGGAGGGAAAGGAAAGAAAGAGAAAGAAAGAAAGAAAGAAAGAAAGAAAGAAAGAAAGAAAGAAAGAAAGAAAGAAAGAAAGAAAGAAAGAAAATCCACAGATCAAATTGGACCCAGGCGATGCAGCCCCCACCCACCAAGGTGTTTCCCCCCCCCCCAGCTCCTTTTTGCAGCAGGGTCTGCTCCGTCACCTGCTTTTGCAGTGGTGAACCAGGAGAGCAGGACGGGGGGGGGTTGTTTCTTGTCAACATGGAATTCGCTGAGCCTGTAATTTGAGCAGGAATGGGGGGGGGGATTGAGGGGCTGAGAAAGGGGAGCAGGGGGTGGGGAGATGGGGGAGAAGAGGGGGGCTGGGAAGGACACCAAAGGAAGCTGGGGGGGGGGGGAGAGATTGGAGCAGCATCTTCCAGGCAGGAAAAGTGCTTGGCTCCAGACTGTGGTGAGCCGAAGGGGGTGGGCAGATTTATTTAAAATGGGAAGGGGGGGGTCTCTGTCCTTGCTAGGTAATCTCAGACTGACCTAGGAAGGAAGGAGTGATAGAGAGCAGGACCGGGCGGAAGAAGAGAGAACATCTGCTTGAACTTGGCAGATCTCAAATGCTCTCCCCTCCTCGGTGCCGTTTCTGGGACAAGGGACGCTTTGGCCCCGTCCCGCTGGAAGTGCTGAGAATTAGAATTTGGCTCACTCCGAGGAATGAAGAGTGCCTCTGAGCACGCACTGAGGTCCGTCCCCCCCCTCCCCCGCCACACACACATACTTCTTTAGCTTCAAGGCTCATGCTGGTGTCATCTTAAGGGCAGACCAGCAACTGACCCTCCTTGGATGAGGTCACAGTGGGGATTCCTCCAGCTCCGGATGCCTTTTCCTTTCTTTCATTTTGCAAATGAGCCGAGACCAAAATCTGGGAAAGGAAAAGATCTGATTCCTCCGGCTTCCAGAATTTTCCCTCCAAATTCCCTGCAAACCATCCTTTCTCTCCCCCCCCTCTCCCTCCCCCCTCCCTCTCCCTCTCTCTCTTCCCTCCTCCTTCAGGTAAGGGAAATCTCTGGGATATTGAAGACGGAGAAGGCTCCCCAAGGAGAATTTTTAGCTCATTGCCAGCTGCTTGGTTTATTTTTAGTCCCCCCCTTCTCCCCCCCCCCGGCCTCCTGCTGAGTTTTTGCCTTTTAAAAACTGGCCGGTGGCCAAAAGCTCCATCAGTGTTCCTGATTTCCCCATCTGGGAGAGTTTGATGGGGAGGCACCGATGGGATAGGCAGGGGAAGTGGGTGGGGGGAGCCATTTGAGGAGTCCTTCTCCCTCCGCTGAAGCCCCCTTCCCACTAATGCTTCAGCCCAGAGACATACACACACGCACACCATTCACAGGAAGCCACTGGCTGCCCTGCCTCGAAGCGCAATTATCCTGGAAGCGCAATTATTCTCCAATTGGTGTTTGCAAGGAATTCAGTAATGGGCAAAAGGCCCGGCTGGTCCCCTCTGATGAAAGGCATAAAGGGCCTTCAGGAAGGGGGGGGGGGAGGAAGCTGCAACCTGTGCAAATCTCCTTTACGCCCAGTTTGCAATTCTTTTCTCTCCTGGGACAGCGAGCTGCTGGAAGATCTGGAGAGGAACACCAGTGCCCACGCAATTGCCGACTGCTTTGTGCAAAGGGTAAGTGCCTGACTTCCTCTCCTCCCCTCCTCCTCCTCGTTCCCTCCCCTCCTCCTCGTTCCCCCTCTCCTCCTCTTCTCTTCCTCCTCCTTTCCTCCTCCCTTTCCTCCTTCTCCGCCTCCTTTCCCCTCCTTCCGCTCTTCCTCCTCCTCCTCCTCCTCCTCCTCCTCCTCCTCTTTTCATCCCATCTGTAATAATTGCAATCAGAGTGTCACAACCTCAGTTAAGATGGAAACTCCCAGAATTTCCCAGCTGCTATGCGATGCGTGGACTTCGCCTCCCAGAATTCCCCAAGCCCGTGTGGATTTCAGCCCTGTGAATTCCCAAGCCGGGCTGCGTGGACTTCACCTCCCTCCCAGAATTCCCCAATCACCACGGCAGGGCTGGCTGGGGAATTCTGGGTGATGAAGTCCCTACATCTTAAAGTTGCTGAAACTGAGAAATGCTGGTTTAGACCGTCTTGGGACCCCCAGATCCTCATCTGCTGGGCAAAGCTGAACTAATCTGTTCCAATTTTGGGGCACCCCGCAGATGTTGCTCTGACTTTGCAGATGTTCCAGTAAAAAAGCAGGATGTGACTTCTGCTCAGAGACCGACACGGGAGTTGGTCCTGTGCAGATGGAGAATTACTCCGGGGTTTCCTGGAATTAAACATAGTTAGTGGGATTGGGGGGGGGGGATCCAGCCATGCTCTCCTTGCCGCTTCTGGATCAAAACTCCCGCTTGGCCAGGGCAGATGCTGGGATGTGAGAAGAGGGGCGAAACCCTCGTCAACGTGGCCTTCCTAATAGCAGGCAGAGAAACCGCCTTCCCCTTGTGGACTGCAATGCATCTAATGTGGTTTCATTTAATTTTGCAGAGTGAAGAATTTGATATCTACACTTTGTACTGCATGAACTACCCCAAGTAAGTACACGGGGCTTTGCAAATCAACGACGCATGAATCTCCTGCTCCCCCGTGCGATTTTCAGCACAATCTGGGTTTACTTTTCCCCAGGACTGTCCAAACGTGGCCACTTTTAAGACCTGTGGACTTCAGCATAACTGGCTGGGGAATTCTGGGAGTTGAGGTCCTCAGGTTTTAAAGTGGGCGAGTTTGGAGACCCCCAGCTCTAGTCCCTCCAGCAATATTTCTCAACCCTACTCGTTTTAAAAGTTCGGACTACAACTCCCAGGATGCCCCGGCCAGCCAGGCAAAGTTATCAATGTGCATCTTTCCTCTCCTCTCCCCATTACCAGCTCCGTCTCGGTGCTCCGGCAGTGCATGGAGGATGACTCCCTGGCAAAATTCTTCCGGGAGAGGCAGGCCACTCTCTCGCACTCGCTGCCATTAGAGACCTACCTTCTCAAGCCGGTCCAGCGAATTCTGAAGTACCATCTGCTGCTGCAGGTGAGTGGTGCCACTTCGGGCTCTTTGGCACTCTCCGAGCTGGGTTGGTTTTCTCACAGACATTTCATGACCCAAGTGGGTAATATCATCTGTTATTTCTGAGGATGGGGTTTGCTCCGTTTCTATACAATATCTTGCCTCGCAGTCTGTGCAGCTGATACCCAGGTATTAATAGCAGACAAACAATCAATGGAATGGAATGGAATATAGAATATAGAATAAGGAATAGAATAGATTAGAAAATATGGAATGGAATGGAATAGAATAGAATAGAAAATATGGAATGGAATGGAATAGAATAGAATAGAATAGAATTACAAATAAGAATAGAATAGAATTACAGATAAGAATAGAATAGAATAGAATTACAAATAAGAATAGAATAGAATAGAATTACAAATAAGAAAAGAAAACAATAGAATAGAATTACAAACAAGAATAGAATAGAACAGAATAGAGAGTAGAGTAGAGTAGAATAGAGTAGAATAGAATTACAAATTAGAATAGAATAGAATAGAGCTGTAAGGGACCTTGGAGGTCTTCTAGTCCAACCCCCCGCTCAGGCAGGAGACCCTATACCAGGGGTCTCAAACTCAATTTCATTGAGAGCCGCATCAGCATTGTGGTTGCCCTCTGGGGGCCAGGTGGATGTGGCCTGGGTGGGTGCGGCCTACTGGGTGGGCATGGATGGAGTGGGTGTGGCCTACTGGGTGGGCATGGCCAGCTCTACATCGTTCGTGTCAAGGGTGCCTGGGCAGGAGTGGGGCAGATCTGGGGGTCTCTGGCAGAAGGGGGTGGGACCGGGGCAAGCACCAAGGCATGGTCAACTGGAGGAGCCTCACTGTTCCTCTCAGGCCATGCAGGGGGGGGGGCGCTTATGGAGCTAAGACTGAATGCGTTTCAGCATAGATGGCCACCACAAAATTGTACATTGGCTCCCAGCTGGCCTGGGCCAGGGCCAGGGCCAAGGCAACAGGGGCTGTTCCCTCACTGTTTCCAGGATGGCTTCGCGGGCCGCATGAAACCACTTCATGGGCCGCATCCGGCCCCCGGGCCTTGTGTTTGACATGTCTGTCCTATACCATCTCAAACAAGTGACTGACCAGCCTCTTAAAAATCTCCAGTGATGGAGCGCCCACGATTAATGGTGGCCAGCTGTTCCACTGGTTGATTGTCCTCGCTGTCAGGAAGTTTCTCCTTAATTCCAGGTTGCTTCTCTCCTTGATCAGTTTCCAACCAACGTTTCTCGTCCTTCCCTCTGGTGCTCTGGTGAACAACCTGGCCCCCTCTGCCTTGTGGCAGCCCCTCAGATACTGGAATACTGCTATCATGTCTCCCCTCTTTCTTCTGTTCTTTAGACTAGCCAAATCCAAGTCCTGCAGCCCTTCTTCGTATGTTTTAGTCTCCAGGCCTTGGAACATCTTAGCTGCTCTTCTCTGAATAAAGCAGAAAACAATATCCTAATCAAGGAATGATGGGGGAAACTCACACCAACCCTTGCTGGGCCAGCTATATAGAGAACAAACCGTTATCAGATTGTTATTCATTTAATGCTCCTATATTTATGTATCTATCTATTTATTTATTTGTTACATTTATATGCCTCATCTCACCAAGAAGTGACTATATGATTTATGAATTTATTATATTGCAAATTATCCAAAGCCGCTTCCAAGTCAGAAATAACATCCTTTACAAAAAGTAAACCGGATGCAGAATGTAACTCTCCCTGGAAAGCATCCTTGAAAATTAAGGTTATGTTGGGCTCAGCCCCACCTCTGGATTCCCTTCTCCGAGACCGACCCAGAATTCCCAGTGTCGTTTCTCAGATTCCCACTGAATGAGCGTCTCTCGTCTTTGACTCTCCCCCCCCTCCAAAAAAAACACCCTGCTTTCTCTACTCAGGAACTTGCCAAACATTACGACAAGAGCAGTCCTGGCTACGACTCGGTGGAAGAGGCGAGCATCACCATGACGGCCGTGGCTTGGTACATCAACGACATGAAGCGGAAACAGGAACATGCCAGCCGGCTGCAGGTACGGGGGAGCCCTTCCTGGCAACAGAAAAGAATTTGTCCTTTGGGATTTGGGAAGGGCCCGCTCACCTGGGCGGCCTTAGCCTGTCTGCCAAGGGGAGCAAACTGGTATCCGTGCTCAAGTCACGAGGGGAGTGGGAACCATTCATGTCTTCGTGGGGTCCTTGGGGGTTTTCTGGCAGACGTTTCGTGACCCAGCTAGGTGGCATCATCAGTGCTAGGAGGGAGGGGGGTTTGTGGAGAGGAGGAGAGAGAGAAGGGAGGAGGAGACATCTCTGGACCCAACTAGGTGGTGTCATCAGTGCCAGGAGGAAAGGGGGGTTGCTGTCTGCGAGTAAGCTACTTGTAAATAAACAGGGAACATGGACCATAAAGCCCCCCCCAAATCCACGTTGACCCCTTTGTAAGCTGAAGTCTCCCCACCTCCTTCCCCCTCCTAGGAGATCCAGGGATTGCTGGCTGGCTGGACTGGTCCAGAGCTGGGGGCCTTTGGGGAGCTGATCCTGGAGGGTCAGTTCCGGGTGCCGCGAGCCCGCAAGGAGAGGGTCTTCTTCCTTCTCAGCAAGGTCCTGCTGATCGCCAAGCGGCGCGGAGAGGCCCTGGTCTACAAGAGCCACATCTTTGTAAGGGGGACCAGGGATTTGGGCGAGGGGATTGGGACCAGTTAGCCCCGTGTTTCTCAGTCTTGGCAATTTTAAACTGGGTGGACTTCAACCCCCAGAATTCCCCAGCCAGCCATGCTCGCTGGGGAATTCTGGGAGTTGAAGCCCGTCCAGCTTCAAGCTGCGTGCTGGCTGGGGAATTCTGGGAGTTGAAGTTCTCAAAAGTTCCTGAGGCTGAGCTAGATTTTCGGGGCATCCTTTGCCGTGAGATTCCCCTCTGACTTTACAGTGCTGCAACCTGGCGCTCCAGGAGAACACCAAGGACCCTCTGAGCTTCAAAATCTCCGACCTTTCCATTCCCAAACAGCAGCACACCGTCCAGGTGAGGCAACCGGCTCCTGCAGCAGCTGACTCGGGAATCCTTACAAGGCCGTGAACCTTTACAAGACGGTTCCCCACGGAAAGTCTGACCTCAGACCTCAGTTGAATGGGTGTAGAATGCCTTCCTGGGAAATCAGAGGGTGGGGGAAATTCAGGTTTTTCCTCCTGGGCAGCTCCCAGGACGCTGCAAGCGTCATAAACATGAACCGTTTGCCAAACATCTGCATTTTGATCCCAGGGAAGCTGCGACGGTCGTAAGTGTGGGAAGCGACCGTAAGTCCCTTTTTTCAGTGCTGTCGTAACCTTGAATGGTCATTAAATGAATCGTTGTAAGTCGAGGACTACCGGTAGATCTTTCTGGAATCCTGGGCTGTAGAAATGCCCTCCACACCCTCCTTTCTCCACTGTTCCAGGTGAGGAACCAGGAAGAAAAACGACTTTGGATTCATTATCTGAAACGTTTGATTGTGGAGAATCATCCCGCGTCCATTCCCCAGAAGGTAAGGGGGAGGCAAGCAGCTGTTTTTTGTTTTTTTTTCTCTGAACTTGAGCTCTTGATGCAGAGGGAAAGCCTGTGTGGATAGTCCTCAACTTACAACCATTATTTGGGATTGGAAATCTGTCTGTAAGTCAAGGCAGCCATGTGGTGGAACCTGTTTTTTCAGCAGTTTTCATGGCGATCATTAAGCGTGTGGCGTGGTCATTAACTGGAACCCAAAGCAGGGTCATGTGATGGGGCTGCATGAGATTTTAGGATGGCTGGAAGAGCCTCACAGGCCGTAAATCACCCACTCCAAGGTTGTTGTAATTTGGAATAGTCGTAAAACAATCAGTCGTAAGTCGGGGACTACCAGGGTTTTTCAAACTTGGCCACTGTAAGATGCGTGGACTTCAACTCTCAGAATTCTTGCTCCTGACCGTCTCTGGATGCTTTCTTTCCCTTTCCAGGCCAAGCAAGTCCTCTTGGAGAACAGCTTCCAGGGTAAGATTTGGAGGAGGAGGGGTTCGCTGGCCCCCGACCTCATTCCCAGAACGTCGCTCCAGCCATCTGCTCCGGAGTGGGAGGGCATTTGGCCATTCGCTGCCCAAGTGACGGGGTTCTCCACTTCTCGCCAGGCTCCCCAGATGTGGTCTTCAGCCCCGAGACCCCCAAGAAGCCCCTGCCTTCTCCTCAGCTGGACGAGTCCAGGGCCTGCATTCGGGGTCGGCGGCAATCAGGTGAGAGGGAACCAGGGATCGGGCCGTGATGGGCAGGCTCTATTATGGTTGAATATTGTAGTTATTGAGGAATACCTGTTAAATCGGACAAGCCATTTGCATCGTTGTGTCGTATTTCAGTAGATGGGCTTAAAGTGGAGCTGGCTGTCCTAGGACCATCCTCACTGGGGAGGGGAGGTCAGGATTTGAACTCAGACCTTTCCCTTTCAGAGCCTCCCGAGTCCATGTACAGTCCCGAGAGAGTCCGGCGGAGCTGCCCCATTTTACAGCTGGAGAAAAGCGGCTCTTACCGCCGGGGCCGCCGGCGGTCAGGTGAGCTTACGTGGAGAAAGGGGCGTGGCTGCACCAGGTGGGTGGGACTGGAGCAAGCATCCTTGGGCGGACCAGCGGTTCCCAAAGTGTGATGCGTGTTCTGCAGAAGGACACCAGGGGGCGCCAGGGGGCCGTGAGAGACCTGCTCATCTTCCGTAGTCAGAAGTCCCGATTGGTCACTTGGAATAAAGCCACCGGGGCAGCTGGTCAGTTGCGTGAGGCTACCAAATGGGCCTCTGAGAGGAAGCTGATCCACATAGCGTCTGGCTGATCTGGATAGCGTCACTGGAGAAGCATCAGCCTAGTGTTCCTGGAACATCTTTTTGGGTGGTGTTTCTCAACCCTGGCTGCTTGAAGGTGAGTGGACTTCAACTCCCAGAATTCCCCAGCCAGCACAGCTGTGCTGGCTGGGGAATTCTGGGAGTTGAAGTCCACCCACCTTCAAGCAGCCAGGGTTGAGAAACGCTGCCTTAGATCAGGGGTCTTCAAACTTGGCCCTTTTATGACTTGTGGACTTCAACTCCCAGAATTCCTCAGGGAGGCACCGCCTGGCTGAGGAATTCTGGGAGTTGAAGTCCACAAGTCATAAAAGGGCCAGGTTTGAAGACCCCTCCCTTAGATACCATACAGTTAATCCTCAATTTACAGCCATTTCTTTAGCAGACATTCAAAGTTACAATGTCGCTGAAAAAAGGCACTTGTGACCGGTCCTCACCCTTACGTCCATTGCAGTGTCAGGTAATCGCCATTGGCGACCTCCGCCAGCTTCCCAATGGGGAAGCCAGATTCGCTGAATGACCCAATTCCCTTAAGAACAGAAACCCGAGTGCCACTCGCTTAATGACCGCCTAGCTTAGCAATGGCGATTCTGGTCCCAATCGTTGTCATAACTTGGGAACTAACTGTAGTTAACAATACCCATTTTTCCCTACTGAGCCGATGCTGCCTTAACAATTCAGAAAGGTTTTATTCTTTGGTAAAATGAATGTTCTTTAATGCAAATTTAGATACGAGTTGATTTAACCCTAACCCTGATGCTAACCGTCATACTAACTCTAACCTTGTTACCCCCTTACAGAACCAGCCAAGGAATCTCAGCTCCTATTTCATCCATCGAGTAAGACCTTTCCCCCCCCCCTTAATTCTGGGTGGTTATTTGGGGTGGGGGAGTTTGCTGTCACGTCCCCACGTTGTTGGCGTTTTGCACAGTGTCAGTAAAGTCACACACCCAGGAATCCTGTCGCATGGCTTTGCGGCCTGAATTGTGTCCTCTCGTCTGATTTTGTCCAGGCAGTCCTTGACTTAACAACAGTTCATTTAGTGACCACTCAAAGTTACGTCGGCGCTGAAAAAAAGGACCTAGGACCACTTTTCAGAGTTACAATCTTTGCAGCATCGCCGTGATTCAATAATCAAAATTTGGATGCCTGGTGACTGGTTCATACTTATGACCATTTGCCGTCTCCCGGGTCACGTGATCCCCTTTTGCGACCTTCTGTCAATGGGGAAGACGGACTCACTCAACTGCAGCGATTCATTTAACAACTGCAGCAGCAAGGAAGTTCATAAAATGAGGCAAATCTCACTCAACAAATGTCTCGCTTAACGACAGAAATGTTGGGCTCAACTGTGGTCGTAGGTTAAGGACTACCTATAAAAGGTTTTGCACATACAGATAGTCCCCAACTTACAGCCACAGCTGCACCCGGAACCTCTGTCGTTAAGTGATGCAGCTTTTGACGCAGCCGCGTCCTTAAGTAAATGGCCTAGTCCTCAAGCAAGTCCAGCCTCCCCCACTGGCTCCGCTTATCGGAATCCAGGGAAGGTCACAAATAGAGATCAGACAACCCTGGGACACTGCAGCTGTCGTAGAGACAGGCCGGTTGCCAACTGCCTGGATTTTGAAGGCCTAACTGCTGTGGTCGCAAGTGCGAGGACCGGCCATAAGTCGTTTTTCCTTTGCTGAACTGCGAATGGTCGTTAAACAGGACTATCTCTTTCTTCCAAAAGCCAGGTTAGAAGAGGCAGAAAGGAAGTGGGCCGTCCTGTGGCCAGCTAGAGCAGGGATAGGCAACCTTGGCTCTTTTATGACTCATGGACTTCAACTCCCAGAATTCCTGAGCCAGCATGGGGAACTATGGCCCCTTCATGACTGATGGACTTCAACTCCCAGAATTCCTGAGCCAGCACGGCTCAGCTTGGAAACCTCTTCCTTTCCCCTCAGCATGGCTGGCTCAGGAATTCTGGGAGTTGAAGTCCACGAGTCATAAAAGAGCCAAGGTTGCCTATCCCTGTGCTAGAGGAACAGGGTGGCTTCTTCCTGGCATGGAAATGTTGAGGACCTCGCCCCAACAGCCAGGACCTCCTCCGGGTCTGCTCCGCTCTCGTTTTGTGACTCATTCCAAATATATATATATATATATATATATATATATATATATATATAATTAAGAATATTAAAAACAAAACAGTGATTCCTGGGTAGACTCATATTAAACAATAAAATATACGAACACCAGGAAGTTATAAAACTATAAAAAGTTTTAATAAAACCAGAATAAAACCAGCTTTCGCTGGCATCTGCCAGCATCATCAGGGTAGTCTCCAGTTGATGGGAGAAGCTATTTATAAGTGTGGCGTTCTTTGCGCCCGGCTTCTTGACCTCGTCATGGGTCCCAGCCAATCAAGGAAAGTGAGGAAATTACAGCTTGCAACACAGAAACTACGATCAAAACGCAGGTGGATTGGCTGGGACCCATGACGAGGTCAAGAAGCCGGGCGCAAAGAACGCCATACTTATAAATAGCTTCTCCCATCAACTGGAGACTACCCTGATGATGCTGGCAGATGCCAGCGAAAGCTTGGTTTTATTCTGGTTTTATTAAAACTTTTTATAGTTTTATAACTTCCTGGTGTTCGTATATTTTATTGTTTAATATATATATTATGTGTGGGTGTGGGTGTTTTTTTGAGACTAAGAACGGATCTGTGATGGTGCAGCCCATTTGGTTGCCTGCAACTCTGGAGTGCCACGATTTTCCAGAGAATTATAAACCCCTGGTGATCTAGTAAATGGGGCTGCAACTCATAAAAACCTCTGCCAAAGTGGCATCGCTCCAACGGATTGATGCAACAATTTCCTTCATCCAGTACTGAATTTCCCACGAAAAACGAAATGCCTATGATGTGATATTTTTTTCTCTCTCTCTCTCTCTCTCCTTCTCTTTCCTCCCCCGTCTTCGTCTTTTCCCTGCCGGGACCTTTCCAGATGTGGCCAGGTTAAAGGTGAGTTTCCCAGGTGTGACCTATGGCTGTTCCTGGGGGGGGGGAGGGAGACATTTCTTGTAGGAAGATGTTTGATTTTTTCATTTTACATTTATCTATGTATATGTTTATATTTTTCCTTTTCCTTTCCTCCGTTTTATCCCGAGAAAGTAGCCTTCTGGAAATTGGTTCACATCAGGGAATAGAAAGCAATGTAGATAATGATTTTTTTAAAATGGATGTTTATAGTAGAATAAAACATGGCAATTCCAAAGATGAGCAGTTGAACTTCTAGCAAACAGTGAAGACACGGTGACGACTTAATACCTTGATTTAGTTCTACGTTCAGCGACTTAGACCTGGGAAGAAAGAGAAGACAAAAGAATAAGGACCGAGCCTAGGCTATTGTAAAATTCATGGAATGAGGCGAGGGAATTACACCGTAGAATTTTATCCTCTTTTCTCGGATGTTATGTGTAACTGCGAGTGTATCTCTTTGTTTGTGACTATGTAGGGATTCTAGGCTGATGCCTCTTTTCACTCCGCCCCCTAGCTCTGCCATTCCTTCTCCTACACCAGGGGGTCTGCAACCTTGACAACTTTAAGACTTGTGGACTTCAGCTCCCAGCATAGCTGGCTGAGGAATTCTGGGAGCTGAAGTCCACAAGTCTTACAGTTGTCAAGGTTGCAGGCCCCTGTCCTACACCCTCCTTCTTTGCAGCACGCGGACAGTGAGGGAGACCTCTTCCCCGCCAGCGAGCCCCTCCACTCCTCCAGCAGCTCCTGCACACTGGCCTCAGCCAAACCGGAGGAGGACGCCGAACCTTCGGATCTGGAAGCAGAGGAGGCCGAATTCTCCCTGGCACAAGACCCGCTCACCACGAACCTCTCCATCACCGAGGAGATCCTGGAATTGCTTAGCCAGCGGGGCTTGGACAAGGAAACCGGAATGGAAGGGAGGTTTTGGAAAGAAAGTAGCTCGGAAGCCCCCAGCTCGGCTCTGCAGGTAACCTCTCGGAGGTGGTGGTTATTATTATTATTATCTGTTAATACTAATCGTGGTGCTGTGGTGGCGCCGTGATTGGAATCGCAGGCTAATTCTGCTGAGTGCCGACTGTCGGCAGTTCAATCCTCACCGGCTCAGGGTCGACTTGGCCTTTCATCATTCCGAGGTCGGTAAAATGAGGACCCGGATTGTTGGGGGGGGGCAACAGGCTGACTCTGTGAACCGCTTAGAGAGGGCTGTGAAGGAGGGTGAAGCGGGAGATGTCTGAGTGCTATCAATAGTTTATTATTATTTAAATTATTATTATTTATTAAATCATTTATTATTATTTATTAGATTTATATTTGAAGCCTGTTCCTGATAAGGCACGGAAGAGAGGGTGACCCTCAAAGGGACCTTGTAAGTGTTTTTCAACCTTGGCAACTTGAAGATGGGTGGACTTCAAATCCCAGAATTCCCCAGCCAGCTCGGCTTGCCCCCTTCCACTGCTTGCTCTGCTGGCTGGGGAATTCTGGGAATTGAAGTCCACCCATCTTCAAGTTGCCAAGATCGAGAAGCACTGGCCATAGAGTGTGACTTCCAGCTTCCGATACTGCAGAGCCATAAGGAAACCATCTGCAGGGACTTAGGGGAAAGCTTTCTGTGTATGCTCAGAAACCCTGCTACATTCCCTTAGAGAAGACAATTGGCAACTGACTTCCCTCCAAGAGTCCTGTTTGGTGAAAGGGCTTCCTGAAGGATAGGCAGCTGGCCCAAACAGATGTTCTCCAGATGATCTGGACAGTATCTCCAAGAGGCGTCTCTCTGGCTATGTGTCCTGACAAGATTTGGGGGTCGAAGCCCCTGGGGATGATAACTCAGGGGAGCAGAAGCTTGTCTGAAGCCACCCCAGAGAGGGAATGGAGGTCCGTGCTGTTCTCGGGCTGTGTCAAGTCTGTGTTTGTCTTCTGCCCTGCGTTCAGGATCAGCTCCTGCCCAACGATGGCGTAGAAGAACTGGAGGACAAAGTGGAAGAAGAGGAGGAGAATGGGGTCTTCCAGGAGGAGGCCCCCTCTCTCCTTCCCCAAGGGAGCCCCCTCCAAGAACAGCTGCTCCCCAGGCTCCCCCACCCCTTTGGCAGCGACTCTTCTGAAGAAGAGGACCTCCACCGAACGCAGGAATCAGCCAGTCCATCTCCGCTACACGTCCTGGAAGGTCTCCCCTTTGAGGAGACCAGCAGCTCTGCCTCCATAGGGCAGGAGACCACCCAGGAGGAAAGCCAGACCCCCAGCTCCTCTACCCGGCCACACTCCTGCCCCATAACCTCCACGGGCGGCTTCGGCAGCGAGGAGAAAAACGAGGAGGAGGACCCCAACCCAACCAGGGACGACTGGGTTCTGCTGGAGAAGATCCAGAGCTACTACCAAAGTGTGGAAGGGGGCAAGAAGGGGCCGGAGGTCACCAAGGAAGAGGGGGTCCCCCCTGTTCCCCCCGGGGTGGTGCGAGAATCCGTCCTGCGGTTCAACAACATCTTGAAGCAGCAGGAGGCTCCGGGAGAGGAAGAGGGAGGAGCCCAGCTCAGAAGGCTCCGCCCTCAATCCGGCCAGCTGAGCCGGACCCGGAGTCAGTCCTGCAACAGCCAACATCTTTCCGTCCCCAAAACCACCTCCGGACGGAGTCGGACGCTCACAACAATCGAGCGGGACCATTCGGATGCGGGTCGCTTCCCTGCGCAGCCGGAGAGACCCCAGGTTAAGGGGGAACCCTCTGATGCGTCGGGGAGAGAAGGAAAGCAGCAGGAGCCGAGTAATGGATCGGAGGAGGGTCCCGCCGAGCCCGGGTTCCGATCGTGTGCGGAGATCCGGCGGGTTTGGCAGGAGAAGGAGCGGAGCGCGAAGGACGCCCCAAAGGAGGGGGCTCCGGGGGTCAGCCGGAGAGCCTTCTGCTCCCCCGATCGGCCCCCCTACGCAGAGCCCCTCTGCATTGTGGAGGATTCAGACTTGGAGGACCCTTTCCGGGGCCCCAGCAGAGAGCCAGATGGGAGCGTCCCCCCCGGGCAGCCGAAGGAAGGGTGGGCGAAGGAGGGGGTCCCTGCCTCTGCGGACTTCCTCCCGGCCTTGGGACTCTACCGGGGCGACGGGGAGCCCTGCCTCCTGGAGAACTCCGAGCGGATAATCAGCAAGGTCCAGGCCCTGGCCAGGATGTACAGCGAGAAGATCGGCCGGCTGAAAGCCCAGAAGGGGGGCCTGGAGAGGCCCGGCGTGCGGCCCCGGGGGTCCCGGCAGACGGCCCTGGGCAGGGGCCAGGTAGCCTTGCAAGAGAGCCGGCCAGGAGGAAGCCTGCCCCAGTGTGAGTCCACCCTCCCAGCCCTCAGTGGGCGTTCTGCCTTGCCCCCCCCCCAGGTGCCCAGCCGGGTAGACGATTTCTAAGGCCCAGTTCATACCACAGACTGAACTGGGAAAACTGGCACAAAAGCTGCTGCCTACACAGGATGCTCCATGGTCATCTCAGATGTGGGCACTTAATAGCCTTCCTTCCTCTCTCTCTTTCTCTTTCTTTCTCTCTCCTTCCTCCCTTCCTCATCTTTTTCCTTCTTTCATCCCTCTCTCCCTCCCTTTCCCTCCCTCCCATTCCCATCTCCTTCCTGCCTGCCTCCACTCCTTCCCACCTTCCTTTATATCCTGCATTTCTAAGCCACTCAAAGAGACTCTCAAAAAATACCCCCAGAAATACATTGATTTGCTTAACAACTGCAGCTTTTGCTTAATGGCCGTTGCAGAAAACTTGTATACTCAGGTCTGGCCATGTGGGTGCCTCGACCTCATGCAAATTCCCGGCTCCATTCCAGCCGTAAGTTGAGGACTCCAGGATTAACTAGATCCAATTCCCTGCCGTTGTCGGTCTCCCCTGGAGGAAGCCAGGTGTCTCATTGTGCCTCCTGCCTCTCTCTCCCCACAGGTGAACCCCAAATCTATGGCCATGTGCTCGTCCACGAGTCCCTCCCGCACGTGATGGGCATCCAGGAAAACGCGCCTCTGGTGGCCGCCACTCGTGAAACGGCCGTGATGCTTCGCAGTGACCGACCTTGCCGGCTTCTTTCTCCAGAGATCCTGGCCTCGCTGCAGCGTGACTCGCACGAACCACTGCCCCCACCTTCGGGGCTCCCCGTAAGAGGAGAGAAGACGCACGCCAAAGCCTCACAACGCATGGAGCACGAAAACCCGTCTCCCCCTCAGCCAGGCTGGAATAGGGAGGGGGGCAGTCAGCCTTCCGAGCTCAGATTGCACCCCGAGTTTTCTGTGGGTGCAGAGCAGGCCAGCCCTGCCCTCCAACTGCAGCAGCGTCTCAGTGACCTCCATTCTGACAATGCTTCCGTCTCTTCAGAGCCCCCCGAGGAAGCAAAGACCGTGATACCCCACTGCCTGTTGGGGGGGCCTTTGGCCCCGGCACCAGAAAAGGGCCACTCCCCGACAAGCACTGGGGGGAGACGCCGTTCGCCCCCTTTTTCGGAGATCAAGGGACCGGACCGAGAGGCGGCAGGAGTCGGCCAGGAAACCTCTGGGACGCTGCTGGGGGGGCTCCAGCAGGGCCCTCCAAATCCTACTGCTGCTTCTGGGCCTGCCAAGGCCACCCAGCCCCTGCCGCTGGACTCCTCCGCCGAGGGGCCGCCCTCCCCACCCCAGGATCCCCTTCCTGCTGCCCCTCCTGAAGTCCCGGCTGGGGCGGAGTCCTCCGTGTGTATGGCGGGACAATGCCCGGGGGTGCCGCTCCCCAAATTCCTCCCCTCCTCCCCCGTCCGCCGGTGCCTCTCCTCCAGCGCTGCCGCCATTTCTAGGTGCATCGCCGCTTCTTGCATCTCTCAAAGCTTGGCCAAGAGGAATGGCGTCCCTCCCCCCGAGGACCCCCAGGGGCCCTGGCTGCCAGCCGACCCCCTGGCTTCACTCCCCAAGTCGGCACCCAAGCGTTATCGGAACCCGGGAAGGCCAGAGACGCCCTCCTCCTCCTCTTCCTCCTCTCAGTGCATCAGCCCTGGGCCCCTCTCCCTGTCCCCATGCAGACCCTCCTTGCCAGGACCCCCGGCTCTTGAGCGCTGCCCCCCCTTCTCCTCTGCCTCGGCCCCCAACTCTCGTGTGCAGTCCCCCGTGAGGCCCAGGATGTGTTCACCCCTTCCAGGAGGAGCCCAGCCCTGCACTTTCAGGCCTCTGGGGCTCCACCCGCAGAGGCAGCCCCCCATCCCCATGGCCCACCCAGAGCCCTGGACACCAGGCTGTCCCACAGCCTGTTTGAGAACCCAGAGGAGCTTCCTCCCCAGCAACAGGGCATCCAAAGAACCAGCCCCCAATGGGGGGCACCAGGAATTCTTGGGGGGTGCCCACAACGGCTCCGAGGCCTCATCCGGAAGTGCCCCCCACTCCCACGAACTGGACAGCATCAGGTGGCCAAACGTGCCGAACCTGTGTTTGAAATACGTCAACCAAGAGGGGTGGTTGGTCAACCCCCCAAGACTGCAGCTTGAGATGGGGGAGCGTTGCCCCAAATGGGGACCCCCCTTAAACCTGGACGCAGTTCGGTTCCCCGAGAAGTGTCCTCAGAAGGCCAGTTACTCCACCACCGTCAACATCCAGATTGGGGGCAGCGGGAGGATCTCCTCGTTCAGTAACGCTCAGGTCAGCCTGACGCATCCTCTCTCGGCCGCGTTGGAGCTGCAGAGGGTCAACGGTGGGGTGGCCGAGACATCCCCGAAACCGGGAACCTGAAACCACGAGGCTGGACCTGCCAGCGGAGCCCAACATCCTAAGAGTGCTGGCTGGAACCGGCCCTGACCACCCGGCCCAACTAGAGGTGCAAAGGGTCAACAGTTGGCGACCCCCAGCCAAGAGATTGTCTTCTGAGCATTGAGAAGACAGTGGCAACGTGCCGGACTCCAGGAGATCCCGAGAAGGGATCTTGCCTCCTTCCTCCTCGCCAGATCAAGCCTCCATTGGCTTCAGTGCCTTGAGAGGGAGAACCAGAAGGCTGGGGAGGGACCGAACTGGATTCACTGGTAGTTGCAGAAAAGCCGGGCGAGGGTTAAGCGTGGCAAAAACGCTTGAGAGGGGGGAAGGTCGCCAATTGGGAATTCTCGATTGTGTCGCTTCCCGTTTTGCTGGTTCCGAGTCCTTTGGAAAAGAAACAACTGTCACACAAACGCCTCTTGGTGCATTTGTGGGTGAACGATGGGGAGGTGGGGGGGCCCTCTGGGGACACGGCTTTGGACCTCCTCTGCCAGATTTTGCTCTGGAGCTCCCTGATCGCTTTCTAGGTTGTGTCAATAAAGTCGGGATAAAAGCCAAATACAAATTAGACTAGAATAGAGCTGGAAGGGACCTCGGAGGTCTTCTAGTCCAGCCCCCCGCTCAAGCAGGAGAACCTGTACCATTTCAGACCAGTGACTGTCCAGCCTCTTCTTAAAAACCTCCAGTGATGGAGCACCCACGATTTCTGAAGATTAATTAAAATAGCACCCCAGGGTCTGGCCAGAAGAACCCGCCAAAGCGTCCAAAGTTGCAAATTGCAGCTGTTTTGCTGTGCAGCACAGCCAGGTTTCCACTGAGCAATTGGATCCGTTTCCAGGAATAGGGTTGAAATCCGTTGTTAGGTCACCGGTTCAGCTTGGACTTTGTCCCAGAGACGTCTCGTGTCTTAATCCAGAATCGTTTTCTGTCAAACTGAGACGCTTCTTCCGGCCTTTACACTGAGCGGCTGTGCTGCAGACGGCCACTGCCTCTTCCAAGGAAGCATTCCAGCATCTCTCGTCCAGAAGTGGATTGCATTTTTAAAAATCCTTTGGAACCCGCGGTGGGGCCATTTCTGAAGGGGGGGGGTCTCAAAGCTAGAATTGTTCTAGAACCCATTTTACAGTGATCCAGACCCCCTTTGGCAGCTTTAAATAACTAGATTATTTACGGGAGAAAACAGGCAGCACCAAAATGTATTTCTCTTGTAAGAATTTGGTTTGCAGAGGGGAGGAGTAGTTAAGCCTAACCTTACACATCCTTTTGGTGCTCTCTTGAGTTTGGTGGTTTCCTTGCAGACCTCTCATGACCCAACTAGGTAATATCATCAGCGAGAAGGGCAAGAGTTTGCGCTAGTGATGTTACCTAGTTTGGTAATGAAATGTTTACAAGAAAACTACCAAACCCTGAGAGCACCAAGGACCCCACAGCCCTCCTTTCTGCAAACCCCTCTCCCTTCTGGCACTGATGATGTTATCTAGCTGGGTCATCTGCAAGGAAACCAGCAAACTCAGAGATCACCAAGGACCCCACTGTCATCCTCCGCCGCCTCCTTGCAAACCCTAGTTTCTTTTAGCACTAATGATGTTACCTACCTGGGTCATGAAACGTCTGCAAGGAAACAACCAGCACAGAAAACATCAAGGACCCCTCATTTCAGCCCTCAATTGGTACATCTTTTTTTCCCCCGAATATGATTTATATTGGGGAGATGCCACTTTTTTCAAATTCCAAAATCAGAAGCAATACACCCCCATAGGAATGAAAGGGCCAGTGTGGGCACATATTTATGGAAAAACAAATTCCAAAACAAGGTAATTTCCTTGGGGCTGGTGCTTTATCTTTGCAGATCTGAAAGATTCAAAAAAACTTTGGACCCAGACCAGGATTCTAGCAGCTTGCAAAAGCACAAGGAAAGAAGTTGCCTGCATCAAATATCTGGAAGCCTCAGCGTCTTTGGGCACCAGCGTTTTCTCCAAGAAAAAAATAAATGTGCAAACCTGCATGGACAACAATGTATTGGGCTGAGCGATGGGGTTTAGTCACAGTAACAATCAGCGGAATTTTCCCTCCTGGAAGAGAAGGGAAAAATTACATGGCTGCTTACAAAGCCGATTAGTAAGAGGCTGGGGGATCTGACGGCTGGGTGTGTGATCTGCACACAGGGACCTGCAGGAATCCCCTCAAAGGTAATAGGGGAGCTTGTGCAGGAAAATGGCATTTTTTGGGAAAGAGATAATCTCATTTATCTGCAGCAAACGGTATTGATCTGTAGAGCAATACGGCCATTTTACGATGTGTCGCCTCCCAGGATCTCCTGGCGGGGGGGGGGGGTTCATGGGATCCCCAGGTGATCTGTCTCCAGCTGCTTGGTTCCTGAGCCTTCCCTGACAGCCAAGGATGGCTGTTTTCCATCCAAGGGAGCCCCTGGGGATCATAAAATAGGGGAACCCGAATGGGTGTCCTGTTTTTATGCAGTAGTTTAGACCCCCACCTCACAAGCACTGATGATGTTACCTAGCTGGGTCATGAAACGTCTGCAAGAAAACATGCAAGCTTGGAGACCACCGAGGACCCCACAGTCTTCATGCTTCCTCTCTCTCCTCTCCACAATTCTGCTTTTTCTGCTGCGTTGTCTTCCGTGTGACGATGGGTCATGATGAGGAACCATGTGCCTGAGCTCAGCCCCTCTGCTTCCCCCCCCCCCATCAGAGGGTTTCCAGGCAGTGCAGCCCTTCAGCCTGTTTAATGCCACTGAAGGGTGGGAAAGCAGCCCCAGGGACTCTGCCCACCCAGGCCGGAGGGGCTTCTGGTAAGCGTCCTTCCCCCAAGAGCAGGAGGTCGGGAGCAGCCCACAAGCGGCCTGGGAGCCCTGGGCTCGGGGGCATCCGGAAGCCTTGGAAGGGGGTGCAGGGGAGGCTACGTGCTTCAAGACACTGGACAGTATGGGGGGAGGGAATTTGCGGCTTTTAAAAATCATTTGGTTGCATTAAAGTGATTAGAGCCACTCAAGACAAAAGTAAGGCTCACTCTTTTTCTTTCTTTCTTTCTTTCTTTCTTTCTTTCTTTCTTTCTTTCTTTCTTTCTTTCTTCCCTGGCCTTCCTTCCTCTGCCTGCCTTCCCCCTTCTTTTACTTTCTTTTCTTTCTTCCACCCTGTCTCCCCCTCCACTTTTCTTCTTTCCTCTGCCTTCCTTTTTCTTTTTTTTGTCTCTGCCTCCCTCCGTTCCTTCCTCCCTAGAAAGAGACAGAGAGAGAGGGGGACAGAGACTGGCCCAAACTCACCCAGAACTACACCCAGCACCTTTAATTACAGGACCAAACTGGCACACCAATCCTTCCAGTAAGCTGGAAAAACTAGAATTCCCCTGGCAGCTTCGGCACAAGCTCCTTTTCGTTGTTCCTTTCTTCTCCCCCCCCCCCCAGGACTTTTGGGCAAACAGATATTGATCTCCCCGAGGCTGGAAAGCCAGCAGCAAAGGCAGCTCTGTTGCCCATTAACCCACGTGAGCTCGGACCCAAACCAGGCAGACTTTAGGATCTGGAGGATGCCTGCATGTTCTCCAGCCCGTCTGGGATGCACCTGGCTGGGAATTGCAGCAGAGCCAAGAGAGTGAAGGGGGGAGACCACAAGCTGGGTGTGAAAGCTTTGCTCTTTTATCTCTGCAAAAGGAATCTTCTCGCACTCGGCTCTTCCGCCTGGACCACCTCAGGAAGCCCTTGCGTTGGTAAGTAGGCACTTGCTGAATCTTCCTTCTTTCAGGCAGAGGCGCTTCTCCAGGTTGAGGTGGGGGTACAAGCCTCTTTCTGGACCTCTTGCAAATCTTCCAGCCATCAAAGGGAGGTGAGAGGGGGGATATAGAATTGGGAGGGAACTTGGAGGGCTTCTAGTCCAACCTCCTGCTCAACAGGAGACCTAGACCAGGGTGTCCAACCTTGGAACTTTTAAGCCTTGTGGATTTCAACTCCCAAAATTGCTGGCTGGGGAATTCTGGGCTTTGAAGTTCACAAGTCTTAAAGTTCCCAAGGTTGGACACTCTTACTCCATACCATTCCAGACAAATGGCTGTCCAGTCTCTTCTTAAAAGCCTTCCGTGATGGAGCACCCACAACTCCTGGAGGCAAGCCCTTCCCGTGGTTAATCGTTCTGACTGTCAGGAAGTTTCTCCTTAGTTCTAGGTTGCTTCTTTCCTTGATTAGTTTCCACCCGTTGGTTCTTGTCCTGCCTTCGGGTGCTTTGGAGAACAGCTTGACTCCCTCTTCTTTGGGGCAGCCCCTGAGATATTGGAAGGCTGCTATCATGTTCGTCCTTCTCTTCATTAGACTAGACATACCCAATTCCAGCAACCGTTCCTCATATGGTTGATGACAAAGAGCTAGCCAGATCAAACCTGCGTTGACCACTGGAGAGAAGCAGAACAGCCTACCTGGAGATGTCCCATCTGAGATGGTTAAAGGAGGCATCACCGAGGCTCTCCTGCTCACCATTCCTGATCTGCCTGTTTCCACTGATCAACAAAGGACCGAGCTTGGTTGTTTTATTGCAGACGTGTGTCATGATCCAAGCTAGATAACATCATCAGTGCTGGAAGTAGCTATATATATATATAAACAGAGAGCAAACCCCTCCTAGCACTGATGATGTTACCTAGTGGGGTCAGGAAGCGTCTACGAGAAAACCACCAAGCTCAGAGAGGATCTCACAATACTCTTCCTCTCCTCCTTCTCTTCGCCTCTTCTCCTCCTCCTCCTCCTCTCTTCTCCTCCTCCTATCCCTCTCCCTTCTAGCACTGATGATATTACCTACTTGGGTCATGAAATATCTGTAAGAAAACTACCCAGCCCAGAGAGCACCAAAGACCCCATAGTCTTTGTTTTCTTCTGCCACCTCCTCCTCCTCCCTTTCCACCTTTTCCGTGATTCCCCCAAACCCTCGGCACTTGCCATATTATTCTGTGGCGGCTTTGCTGGTTTCAGATATTCCCCGCTGGGCTGCCGGCAGCTGGATTCTCCAGCAGGGTGACACCCGGCCTGCTTAAAATAAAGCAGACCCGCAATAAACAAATTTGAAAAAGAGAAACAAGATGCTACTGAGATTGAACAACTGGGGAAAACCACGAGTTCTCTTTCAGGGTGGAATGAAGGCCAGCTCGACTTGGACATGTTGACCTTGCCTCTTTGGAGAAAAAAATCTAACGCGGGTTAATTTAATGAAGCATATTATACAAAGTCCTCGGTATACAACCACACTTGAGCCCAAAATTTCTGTTGTTGAGTGAGAAATTTGTTAAGCGAATTTTGCCCCATTTTACAACCTTTCCTGCCTCAGTTGTTAAGTGAATCACTGCAGTTGATAAGTTAGTAACCCGGTTGTTAAGTGAATCCGGCTTCCCCATTGGGACACTGCGACCATCATAACTGTGAGTCGGTTGCTGAGTGCCTGAATTTTGATCACATGACCCTGGGGATGCTGCAGAGGTCATAACTGAAAAACAGTCCTAAGTCTGTTTTTCATTGCCGCTGTAACTTTGAACGGTCACTAAATGAATGGTTGTAGATCAAGGACTCCCTGCGGTTGAATTTGCACTTTGAAGTGAGTCCCTCTGTGCCAATGTTTCTCAGTCTTGACCACTTTAAGACGCGTGGACTTCAACTCCCAGAATTCCTCTTTAAGGGGGTCACCAAGTTAACCTCGCTTATAAAGCCGGGGTCTCCAAACTTGGCCACTTTAAGACGTGTGGACTTCAACCCACAGAATTCCTAAGAGCCAGCTGGGGGATTCTGGGAGTTGAAGTCCACACGTCTTAAAGTGGCCAAGCCTGACAAACACCACTGCCCGCAGTCAAGCAATAACTGAGTGTCTATCTCTCCCCCCACCCCTCCCAGTCTGAGATTTGAAGAACTACTTGCCTGACCCCAGTTCATCCCATCTCTGGATTGGCACCTGTCTGTCTTTGTTGTTCAAGGGTAGGAAAGCCTGCGGTGCAGATGGGATGCGCCTTCTCCAGCACGGGGGACGCAGCGGATCCAGCTGTCTCTGAAGCCTGGAGGGGCTCAGCCCTGGGCCTTGAGGAGGAAGGGGCGGATGGCAGCAGAGGGGAGGGGGAGGGAGCGTTCCCCCTCTCCCAGGCCCAGAAGGAGTGGATTCGGGAGTCCTGGAACATCCTCCATAAGAACATCGCCCGAGTGGGGATCATTGTCTTCATTGGGTAAGGCGCCGTTTCTCTCTTTGCAAGAGGAGCGTCCCGGTCAACACAACACAAGCCACAACTGAGGAGCTGGTTGGGGAAGGCCAGTCTTTGATCCCGTGACCCTAAGGATGCTGCAGCGGTCACGAGGGTCTCTGGAGATAGCGTCTTCCAGGTCAGGGTTGTCCTGAAGGCGCTTTTCCAAAAGACAACCAGGCTTTATTCCGTGAAGATGTTTCGCTTCTCATCCAAGGAGCCTCTTCAGTTCTGAGTGAATGAGTCAGAAGATTCATTCAGAAGCGAAGAAGCTCCCTGGGTGAGAAGCGAAAGGTATTCCAGGAAAAACAAACTCCAGTTGCCTTTTGAAAAAAAAAAAAAACCTTTGGGACAACGGTCAAAAGTGGGGAAATCGGTCATAGCACCATTTTCAGTGCTGTTGTAACGTTGAACCACCATTAAACGGAGGCTTGTAAGTTGAGCACTAGCAGTAAAACTGTAGGGGAGGTCTCCTCTGTTACTGCCTCTGCCTCTCCCCCAGAGATCTGGGGGGCATCCCCTGCCCTCCAGAAGATGTCCCCCAAAGACCTGGCTGTCCCCCCAGGCTTTGGACAGGGTGGGGGGGGCAACATTTGTCCCCCCCCTCCCTCCCTCATGTGTGGGGTTCATTCTTCTCCACTGTCCGGTTTCTCTTCCTTAATAAACACTCAGCCACCCACGGAGGTCGGCAGCCCAGGGAGGGAGCTTCTAAATCAAATTTAATGAAATGAAATAAAATAGTGTTTGTCTGGGGGAGAGAACTGCCCTTTGCAAGATGAGTCATCCCAAAGTTGCATCTCTTGGGATCTGCAGCCTGCTCCCACGCTTCGGCTTTCATCTTGGTTTAGCTTGGGTGACCCCCCCCCACCCCCCACCCTGGGCTTCCCAACAAGGACATCCAATGCGCCAGGACTGGCTTCCATCGCAGGGAGACGCTCCCGATCAACCCCAATGCCCCTTTGAAGACACCCCCCCCCGTTGATGCTCAGACTTCCTTCTTGGTCTGACACACCTGTCCCGACTTCCCCAGCTGGGACGGTCGCCAGCAGTGATCACGTGACCCCGGGATATTGCGACCGTCGTCAACACTATGGCAGTTTCCAAGCACCTGAATTTGGATGATGCGACTATGGGGCGGTTGTGATGCTGTAAATGTGAGGACCGGTCACAAGTCATATTTTTCAGTGCTGTTGCAACTTGCAACGGTCGCTAAATGAATGCTTGTAAATCATGGACTATATCAGGGGTAGGCAACCTTGGTTCTTTTATGACTGGTGGACTTCAACTCCCAGAATTCCTGAGACAGCCATGCTGAGGGGAAAGGGAGAGGTTTCCAAGCTGAGCCAGGCTGGCCCAGGAATTCTGGGAGTTGAAGTCCACCAGTCATGAGGGGCCATAGTTCCCCCATGCTGGCTCGGGAATTCTGGGAGTTAAGTCCACCAGTCATAAAAGAGCCAAGGTTGCCTACCCCTGACCTATACTTACCAATGCCCAGGGACACCACATTGCAGCCATTTCGTGGCAACGTGCCCTTTGAACAGGCTCAGAGGTTTTTTTTTTCAGGGCAGCAGGTGGCGTGGGGTCTGTCCTGCCTGGTGCTCTGAGACTGCACATCTGCACATCTACACGTATGCAGGCAGACCTGCTGTCCCCCTCCTGGAATCTCTCCACAAAACACACAACCGTTGCCTTTGATTGGCACCGACTTTTGCAGAGTCTGTTTTCTGTCCGGCAAACTCACGGGGGCTTTGGGGAGGGAGGGAGGGAGAAAACGGGAGGCAGGAGCACCAGAGAGACCCAAAAAGAGCAGCGGGCAGAAGGAGGCCGGCTACAAGCAGAGACAGTCCAGAAGCTTCCAAATTCCAAGAAGGAGGCAGGAAGGAGGCAGTTTGGAGAGCAGACCCCGCCTGGAGCAGGTTTGGGACCGAGTGCCCAGATCCAGCCTTGTCTAGATGGAGTGGTGGAAAATGGGTGGCAGGGGTGGGGGGCTACAGCTTAGGGATCTGGCTTTGGCACAGTCCCACAGCTGGGTTTTGGGGCCCACTAGAAGAGAATCTGCGTAGCTCAGAGTTGAATTGTGGAGTCTTGGGTGCTCGCTGTGCTTGGTTGGTTTTTTTTTTGGGAAACGTTTCGTTACCCAGCTAGGTAACATCATCAGTGCTAGAAGGTTTGTAGAGAAGAGGGGGAGGAAGAGGAGGAGGCCATCCTGGCTGTTCTCTGTGCTTGTTTTTTTTTGTTGCAAATGTTTCATGACCCAACTAGATAACATCATCAGAGTTAGAAGGGAGAGAGGTTCCTAGCTGGGTTATGAAATGTCTGCAAGAAAACCACTGAGCTCAGAGAGCACCAAGGACCCCATAATCCTCTTCTTCCACCTTTCCCCCTCTTCTCCTTCTCCTCCACTCCACAAACCCCCCTCCCTTCTAGCACGGATGATGTTACCTAGCTAGGTCATGAAATGTCTGCAAAAAAACCATCCAGCTCAGAGAGCACCAAGGACCCCACAGTCCTCCTCCTGTTCTGGCCAGCCCTACTGAAACGGCCACTGCTGTAGACAGTCAGTGTTTACTTCCCTAAGATGTAGGCAAGTAATTCAATGAGGCAATAAATTCCAGGCATGATTGTCAGACTCACACCAAGCCAAAAAGCATTTTCCGCCCCAGGAAACTGTTCCGCATCTGGAAATCAGGCAGCTGCAGAGTCTCCCAGCAGGGCTGATCCACGCTGACTTGCGAACGAGGGAAGCGTCTGACCTGCAAACTTGTTCGCAGGTCAGCCTGGATCAACCCTGGATGAGAATCTGCTCAGAAGCTCTGCAACCTGTTGGAAAGGGGATCCCTGTTTGCCAAGAGCAAAGGCTGCTGTTGGAAGAGAGAGAAGGAAGGTGAGGATTCCCAGGCTGCTCTCCCTTCTACAGCCCCCTCTTGCTGGCTCTCTTTTTTTAATAATTTTTATTTTATTTTATTATTGCCAAAGCTAGATGACAAACTCCAAAAGACAAAAAAAGAAGGAAACAAGAACAAAGCAAAACGAAACAAGACAAGAAGAAAAATATGCATTAAAAAACAGACACTACTAACAAATATATTTCAACAATAATAGCTTCCCCCCCCCTCGCAAAACTCTCTTGTGCCCCTTGGGGTCTTCACCCCCTGGGGGTCCTGCTGGCTTAATGCCTCTCCTGCCCCCTGGGAGCTTAAGAGCTCTCTCTCTTTTCTTGCAAAGCCTATTGTGGAATCTTCCTGCCTACTATCCACCCCAGGTGCGCTCCGTTGTTTTGCAGACCTAGGCACCTTACCTGGTGGGTTTTGTTTAGAAGCGGAGGGGGCTGGCATCGGCTTGGCTGCCCCCATTCAAATGCTCCTCGCTAATTAAAGTGAGAGCAATATAGAGGAAGGCCTGAGATTACAAGTGATTGTTCCAAAGGAGAACCGCTGGAGGAGTCCAATTCTGCAAGTCCTTTGGGCTGTTTTTCACTTGGCGTCCCTGCGAATCCAGTTTGTTCACGTTGGCAGCAGAAAGAGAGAGAACGCAGAACGTCGAATCACCGAGTTGGAAGGGACTTTGAAGGTCTTCTAGTCCAGCCCCCTGCTTGAGCTGGAGACCCTCTATCATTTCAGACAAATGATTGTCTAGGTTGCAAAAGACGGCCAGGTAGAACTACACCCATCGTCTTTCGGTCAACCAGCCACAGAATTTTTAAGAGGGACTCCAGGGTTGTGAAAAAGGGAGGTTTTCAGGATTGTGAAAAAGGGAGGGTTTTTTTTTTTAATTATTAAGTTTGTTGACAAGGGACAACAGAGTCTTTCAAAGGTTTGGTTGCCAAAAACCTTCGCCTTCTCACAACCATCAGCCTGCAAAGTGCCCATTATGACCGCGAGGGTACAGTTAGTCCTTGACTTACAACCACTTGTTTAGTGACCCTTCAGAATTACAACAGCATTGAAAAAGCTGATTTATGACCATTTTTCATGACTGTTGTAGCATCTCCACGGTGACATGATCAAAATTCAGATGCTTGGCAACTTCTACTTGTGACGGTTGCTGTGTCCCGGGGGGAGCGTGTCCTGTGATCCCTTTTTGCGAACCTTCTGACAAGCATTTTGAGCTGAGTTGTGGTCCTAAGTGAAGGACTACCTGGATTTAGAGTTACTCGGAATAAATGTTTCGCAACCATTTGGATTCTGAATCCAGCTATTGCTTCCAAATTGGCCGTGGATTAATTCAGTTCCACCGAAACTGAGGGGTGAGTCATAAGTCCAGGACTGCCTGCATCCAATTCCTCATTTTTAACTCCCACTTTGTCACGGCTATTTCAATCGCAGCCGCTTCAGATTCTAAACCTGCATAATCATAAGAATAATTTATCACATTTATATGCCACCCAACTGCCAGCGCCTCTGAATCTCCCAGCGATGACAAATCCTTATCCATCTTCCGTGCAATTTCTTCCCATGAAGAGAGGCGCAGACCCCGACACGGTGGTCCTCAAAGCGCTTTAATTAACTACATATTTTTAAGTGGCTGCATCCACTTCCCAAGACTGATCACGTCTTCCATCCTTGAGCAGAGACGGCTGGATTCATCCTAAGTCCCTTTTAATGAAACCACAACATTCAAAGAATTTGATAGATAGAAAAGGGCGAGCTGTTTGTTATTTAGTCCTGGCCAGGCACTTAGAGATAGAGAGCTAGGGAAGAGTCAACACTTCAATGCATCCTTTTCAACATCGGAATGATGTGTCGCAAAGTTGTGTTGCCTTTCTTTGTTTTCGCTGGGGTAAGAGCAACGGAGAAAGCTCGCTGGAGCCCAGCCACATTGCCTTTCTGCAAAAAACTTTCCAATTTAACCTTTTCCACATGACTTATATTAAAAGGCCCATCATTAAAAAAGCACAACAAAGAATGTTCTTCCTGCACCAACTCAGAAAGCTCAGACCGTCCCAGGGGCTGCTGATGCGGTTCTAGAGGTGAATTATTGAGTCACTCACCTCTGTGTGTCTGGTTTGGCACAACAACCCAACAAGACAGACACAGACTCCCACGGATAGTTAGGACTGCAGAAAAAAACAATTACAACCAGCCTGCCTTCCACTGAGGACCTGTACCCTGCATGAACGAGAAAGAGGGCTGAGAACATATCTACAGTCTTCTCACATGCAGGGTGCAAAAGGTTTCAAGTTCCCTCCTATGGACGGTGCTATAGGGCGGGGGTCCTCAACCTTGACAACTTTAAGACTTGTGGACTTTAACTCCCAGAATTCCTCAGCCAGCTTTGCTGGGAGTTGAAGTCCACAAGTCTTAAAGTTGCCAAGGTTGAGGATCCCTGTTATAGGGCATTGCACGACAAAACAATTAGACACAAAGATAGTTTCCCCCCCCCCCGTGCCATCACTCTGCTGAACACCTAATTCCCACAGCACTGTCCCCCTTTTGCACTGAGCTGTCAAATCATTAGTAGGGCTGTATTACTATTATCCTTCTCATTTTTCCTATTACCTACGCCTTTAGCATCTTATGACTATCAATTACGATTGATGTTGATTGCATTTATTTAGTATCTCATGACTATTGCTGAGTGTTGTACCTTATGATTTATGGTGATTGTATTTTTATGATTATGATTGTGATTTATCATTTGTCCCTTATATGTATACTGAGTTTGTTCTGTTCTGTTCCAATGTTCTGTTCTGTTCTATTCCTGGCTTGACCCTTGCCAGGATGGGTGGAGGAAAAAGACGGGAGGCGGCAGCTGAGTTTTGAAACCTCGGGGGTGCAATCTGCCACGGAGGCACGCCTGGCCTTAAAAAAAATAATAAATAAAAGGAGCAATAGATTTTATTGCCAAGTGACTTTCTCGGGCATCTTACGGGCACGTCCATCCATGGGGAGCCGTCTCTAGGAAGCGGTCTCTTTTCCGCGCAGCTCGGCTGGGTTTGCTGTGCTGTTTTCACATGTGCTTTTCAGATGGCTTTTATAGATTGTGTTGGCACGGCTTTTGTTTGACGAGAGCTTTAAACATCCTGGGATCACGATGACAAAAGCCAGGATAAACATTCCTTAAACAATGCTTGTGTTTGCCCCCTTTTGTTAGCCAAAGCAGATGCCATAAAACCAGTGGGGGAGGGGGAAGGGGTGGTGGCAGAGCAAAGATGGGGTGGGAAAGAAAAGGGGTTCAACTATGTCTCTGAACATGGGGAGGGGTCTGCGAGAAGAGAGGCAGGAGGAGGAGGAGTTGCAGAATAGGCAACGGCCAGATAAGAGGCCTCGTAGTCCTCAGGAGGGCTTGCAAGCTGGAAAGTTCATTTCTGCCCCCTCACCTTTACAGTCCCAGAAAGTGGGGAGGTTCCCTTCCGAGATGTTTGCCAGGCCCCTTTTCTTCCTGAGGGCTGCCAGGTCTCTTATCTGACCATTGCCTATTCTGCAACTCCTCCTCCTCCTCCTCCTCCTCCTGTCTTTTGAGGTCCTCACCGACCATTGCAGGTTGCAGGAAGAAGATCCCATTTTCCCAAAGACTTCCCCCCAAGGAAGCTGCGATCTGGACTGTCTCCTGTTTCTTCTCCAGACTCTTTGAGACCCACCCCGAGTGTAAGGACGTCTTTTTCCTCTTCCGGGACGTAGACGATCTGCAACAGCTGAAGATGAGTAAAGAGCTTCAAGCCCATGGGCTCAGGTGGGTCTGAAGGTCCAACTTGGGCCAGGCTTCTGGGTCTCCTCCACCCAAACAACAGGGGCAGCTGGATGGAGCTTCACCTTCTCCTTTGGAGATGTTCTCAGGCGACGCTTGGATCCTTCATTGTGGCTGTGGGCAACACAAGGGGATGTGTATCCTTCCGTGACCTAGGAATAAGGAGAAATTTCCTAACAGTGAGAACCATCAGCCAGTGGAACAACTTGCCACCAGAGGCTGTGGGCACTCCATCACTGGAGGTTTTTAAGAAGAGACCGGAAGCCACTTGTCTGGAATGGCATCGGGGAAGGGTGTCCAACTTTGGCCACTTTAGGTCTTGTGGACTTCAATTCCCAGAATTCCCCAGCCAGCATGCTAATGAACTTTTGCAATGGGTGGACTTCAATTCCCAGAAGTCCCCAGGCAGGATGCAGTTGGGCTGTTTTGGTGCTGTTTGGCAGAGGCTTTCTTCTTTTCCTGGTTTTTATCTTCTGCGTGGGCTTGGTGTTTGGCCGCCGTATCTAGATCTTCCCCGTTTTTTGGGAGAGGAAGGATACGTGTGGTCTTCGTTACCATCTTGGATTTGTCTCTTGACATTTATGAGCAGAACTCTCTCTCTCTCTCTGGAGGAGATTAAAATAGTCCCTGAAAGCCAAGGAAGAAATTAGCATATCTAGGCCAGGGTTTCTCAACCTTGGCAGCCTGAAGCTGTGTGGACTTCAACTTCCAGAATTCCCCAGCCAGCTCACATCTTCAGGTTGCCAAGGTTGAGAAACAATGGTTTAGATATTCATTTGTAATTTCATGGAATGGATCCAACGGCGATCCAGAAAAGGAACACAGCCAAGAGATACATTTGCAGACCAAATCAGGTCAAAGAAAACTGTGTGTAGGAAATTCTGGGAGTTGAAATCCACCCATCTCAAAGCTGCCAAGGTTGAACAACCCAAATCTAGACTCTAAAATGATGACCTCAGTGCTTCGGGACCCCCAAGCCCCTCTCCTCCCGCCATTTCCCCCCACTCTGCCCCGCCCCACAGACTCTAGGGAGCTGTGGATGGGAAGAGAGAGTTGCTTTCCTTCGCTTTCCTAGACGTTTCCTGTAATTCGGAGAATTCCTCTCTTCTCTCCTCTCTTATGCAAGGCTAAATCGGAACCTCTGTCCTGCCCAAAACTTTGCTAGGGGCCTTCGTAGATTTCCTAGGAATGGGGTCGTGAGTCCCACTGAGGATGAACACATGCCCCAAAAGAGCTCTCCTCTGTTCTCTCGCCCTCCCTAGAGTGATGTCCTTCATCGAGAAGAGCGTGGCTCGACTGGATCAAGAACCCAAGCTGGAGGCTCTCGCCTTTCAGCTGGGCAAGAACCACTTCCATTATAAAGCTCCCCCCAACTACTACGAGGTGAGATGAAGAGCAGCAAGAGGGCTACCAAGGCTCGGCTGAATTCAAAGGTTGGGGTGCCCCTATACACCCTGTTGAAGGATTAAGCAATTCGAATCTTGAATCTTCTAAGAAGGATATTCCTAATTGTCTAAGAAGGCTATTCCTGATAGCTTTTTGATCTTCTCCCTTTTTAGAGTGGAAGGTCTCAGGTCCACGTGAATTGATCTTCCATTAAACTATTTCATTGCTAAAAGCCGGCATGCAGGAATCTTCTCCACTAACGTTAGCACCTACGAGGAGTTAGAGAAGGGTTAATAGAATTCAAGGGACATTGGACTTAGACCAGGGTCCCCAATCCCTGGTCCGTGGACCGGTACCGGGCCGCAGCATGCCAGCAACCGGTCCGCACAAACAAGCAAAGTCCCATTCGTGGGATGCAGCAGCACACAAAACCATGCACCCTCCGGTCTGTCTGTGGAAAAACCTCTCTCCATGGAACTAGTCCCTGGTGCCCAAACGTTTGGTGGCTATGGAGGGATGCTAGGCTTATCCCTCCTTTGACTCCGCCCTGATGGCCAAATTTGGCTTCTAGATGAGAGCCTCGGTACGCTAGACCCCCTAATTATGACACTGAGATGAGGATTATTTAATTTATAATTTGTTTGAAATGTTTCAGTTAAAAAGGATTCTCTTACTGATTTCACAAGAAAGAGAAGAACGGAGAAATCACGCCTTCCTTTTTATAGTTTGCATAATAAAAAAAGTACATTTAGAAGACTGTGGCTCTGCAGTTGCCCTCTTCACAAACCATCTGGACGTTGTCCAACTGGTATGGAGCTACTTTTGCAGACAGAAACCGACCACAGGGTGTTAGATGGGTCAGGGGTGAAAGACCAGGTCCACACGTGAAAGTTCAATTCAGCTGATTTATTGCTATGGGCCTACGGGCAGGAACCTTCTCAACCAAATGTTAGCACCTGCTAGGAATTAGATACAGGTTCTCAGAATTCAAGGGAAGTTGGACTTAGTTCGCTTGTGGCTATGTAGGGATTCTAGGCTGATTCCTGTTTTAATGCCACCCCCAGGTTCTGCCACTGCTTTTACATCAGGAAGGACAACAATGTTCCCTGGGGGTTAATTTCCTTGCTTTTGTAATTGCTTAGAGGCATTGCTGGTGGGGCATCTACACCTGTCTCCTGTAAAAGCATGCAAATGCGTTGCTTTTTGGTGTGTTTAGATTTTTTTTTTACCTGATTGCTAAAAGAAAGAAAGAAAGAAAGAAAGAAAGAAAGAAAGAAAGAAAGAAAGAAAGAAAGAATTTTGCAGCATGAAAACCCAAGAGGAAGAAAAATGAACAATGACCAAGCCTACACCTTTGTAAAATTCATGGAGTGAAGCGAAGGAGGGAATTGCACCATAAAATTTTATCCTCTTTTCTCAGATGTTATTGTATAACTATGACTGCATCTCTTAAAATGTCTGCAACCCGCAACACATATATTTTAAAGCAATCTAATAGCTGTAAAAGATGTCAGTAATTCACAGCAGGTAATCCACCTCCCTGTCTCTCTTTTCCAAAATTACCGTTGTTTCTTTGGCATTTTATATTTCTCTCTCTCTCTCTCTCCCTTTTTTTCTTCTTCAGTACATTGGAATTCAATTCATCCAGGCTGTTCGGCCAATTCTCAAAGATGATTGGACTCTGGAGGTTGAAAAGGCCTGGCAGGTAAGGGGAATTTGGAAGATAATCGGGCATTAACAATAAACAATCAAGCAGAAAACAATATCCTAATGATATTATCTACTTGGGTTATGAAATGTCTGCAAGAAAACAACCCAGCTCAGAGAGCACCAGGGACCCCACAGTTCTCCTGCTCCCACTCCTGCTCCTCCTGCTCCTCTTCCTCCTTCCAACTCTTCTCCTTTCTAGCACTGATGACTACCTAGTTGCGTCATGAAAGATCTGCAAGAAAACCACCAGAGACCCCATATATCTCCTCCTCCTCCTCCTCCAACTTGACAGCTTGAAATCTTGGTCTCACTTGCCATAAGTCAAGAATTACTTGTATGACGCCTAGATTTATTTTAAAAATGGCCTTCTCTTTTTTTCTTCTTCCTGTTCCTAGGGCCTCTTCAGATACCTGGTAGCTGTGATGCACAGGGGGTTCCATAACGAAGGAAAGAGACTGGGGGGCAGCCCCTTTCTTCCCCCACAGACAGCTGAAATGGAATCCACTCCAGACCAAATCTGAAGAGGGTGTTCTCCCTGGAAGTGGCTGGTTGAAGGATCTCCTTGGACTTCCTGCTAGGAGCCCCTGATGTTGGCTGAGAAATGCCTTTTTGTGAAGTGTTTCCATTTCTGCTTTGTGGTCCTTGCAGGGCTACAACCTTCTGGGTGTTCAGCTACAGCAGGGGTAGTCAACCTTGGCTCTTTTATGACTCGTGGACTTCAACTCCCAGAATTCCTGAGCCAGCTTAGCTGGCTCAGGAATTCTGGGAGCTGAAGTCCACGAGTCATAAAAGAGCCAAGGTTGACTACCCCTGAGCTACAGCAATCACTCAACCCGACACCCAAAGCCCTGAGCTTGTCCTCCAATACAAGAAGACAAATCACAACATCGTGTAGACGTTGGAAAGATTCTGGACAGAAGCCGTCTTGCCGAGAGTGTCTCACCATACCTCTCTCAGCAACCCGTAGGATTTGCCTGTTAGTGCCATTCCTTGCAATCTTTTGGAAAGGCACTCTCAGAGACAGGATGGGGATTCACGGAGATCAAGAGGCGTGGGATGTCCCGTGCTCAAGGGACTATTTCAATCTCCTCCAGAGAGAGAGAGAGTTCTGCTCATAAATGTCAAGAGACAAATCCAAGATGGTAACGAAGACCACACGTAGCCTTCTTCTCCCAAAAAACGGGGAAGATCCAGCTACGGCGGCCGAATGCCAAGCCCACGCGGAAGATAAAAACCAGGAAAAGAAAAAAGCCTCTGCCAACAGCACCAAACAGCCCAACTGCGTCCTGCCTGGGGAATTCTGGGAATTGAAGTCCACCCATTGTAAAAGTTTATTTACATGTTGGCTGGGGAATTCTGGAAGTTGAAGTCCACACATCTTCAAGCTGCCAAGGCTGAAAAACACGGACCTAAATAGAAATTCCCATTGGAACACTTAGCTTTGTTTTTCCTCTTGCTTTATAATCTTATATTTGAGGGAGGAAAAGGAATACAGGAAGAAAAAGGAGGGGCAGTTGATTAAAATAGTTTTTGTTCAATTCTGGTTCAGAATCAGCCCACTGGGGCTGAAAGAATGGTGCATTCCGTTTCTGGAGCTGATTATCAACTTGGTTGCCTTTTTCCTCAGAAACAATCAACCACACTCCCCTGCTCACTTTTTCACACGCACCTGTTGCTCCTGGATATTCCTAAAATCCTGCAAGATGCCTCTGGGATATAGCCGTAACCTTGGTCTGGCCAAACCTTGCATGTATGAAGATGTCCATTTTGCTTGCCCAACATTCTATAACGTGTTCTATAATCTTATACACACCACACCCTTCCAGCGTCACCCTAGAATCAGCATATACACAATTCCACACCTGGGACAAGCTCCCCTATAAAACAATCTTGCTGTACCCCATTTCTCTGCAGCTGCCCCTAAAGCAAAGCTCTTTGCTTTTGGGGAATAAATATTTCTTGTTTCCTCACAGCTATCTAGATTCCATTTTTATTTATTCTTGCACAACCCCAGCTTGAGTTGGAACCCCAAATTATTTTTTCTGACACTGGTCAATATAAGCTGCCTCTGTTGTCTCGCTTCTGTATCAAGCTTGCTTTCAATCTGATAAAATGGTCAAACAGACACAAACCTGGTTACTTCCTGGTAGCTTTGTATTCATTCATACAGCCAAGATGGCTAAATCTGTCTCTCAATCACAGCATAATTGGTGATCTCTGTGTCGGGGGGGAAGTATCAGAAATGGAAAGCAAACTTAAAGTTCAGGCAGCCGTGACGAAAACCGAGAATCGGGTGGATTGGATTGATATTTTCAAAGTGGTGCACAATTGTGCAGCCTCTCCTTACAACTGACTCTGGTAGAAGGTCCTCCCTGTATGCAGGACCGCCGGAAGGAGCTGACCATTCCAGTTTTGGCAAGACCACCCCTGGGTGCCAAGGTTAGGGATCTCCCCCTCTTTGTGGCTCAGAATCTGTTGTCTTGAAAATGACTTCTCTGGCTTGAAATGTACAGCAAAACTTGTTGGCAGGAAGAGATATGAGTGCATTACAGGCTGTCTTAGCAGATGTCAACCCTTTGTTGGGACAGTCAGCAAATATTTGGAAAAATCCCCTGGTTTTAATTCTGAGCAGCCATTTCAACATCACAGAGGTGGGGCGAAAGCCTGCATCATCCTGGGTGTAGAACATGGTTAGCTTGTTTTAAGCCTGGTTATAAATCTGGACAACAGGCTACAAAGAGGTTGAAGGAACATTGGAGAAGCTCTACAACTCTTGGCAAGCAAGGGAAAGGAAGAGGATCGGCACCTTTGTGGATTGTGCAGCGTCTGGGATCCTGGTTTCCGGCGTTCCCCAAAATCCACCCATCAGGACCAAAAAGTCTTGCAGACTTCCTGTTGCTCTCGCAAAGATCAGAACAGAGGTACCTTGGGCTGGGCTGGGCTGGCGAAGAGGTTGTGGGTCAATTGATCAGTGGAATGACTGGCCTCCAGAAGTTGTGGGTGCTCCATCACTGGAGGTTTTTAAGAAGAGAATGGACAGCCATTGGCCCGGAATGGTCTAGGGCAGGGGTAGGCAACCTTGGCTCTTTTAGGACTCGTGGACTTCAACTCCCAGAATTCCTGAGCCAGCCATGCTGAGAGGAAAGGGAGAGGTTTCCAAGCTGAGCCATGCTGGCTCAGGAATTCTGGGAGTTGAAGTCCACGAGGCATAAAAGAGCCAAGGTTGCCTACCCCTGGTCTAGGGTCTCCCGCTTGGGAAGGGGGTTGGACTAGGACCTCCAAGGTCCCTTCCAACACTGTTATTCTGATACCAGGCAAGTAGCATTAAAGCTTCCTGCAAGAACAGATAACGTGGGTGGGTGACCCCTTTGCAGCTGTTAAGTGTTTTCCGGTGAAACCGGTCTATCAGGGCAACCTGGTGCACCCCAAATATGGGACGGAGCCCCAATCTAGGAGCCTTCACAGGCAGTCGCTTCCGCGCCAGGCTATTTGTGGGTTAAGTTTAAATTTTGCTAGCAAAGAATTAAAGGGAGACTAGTATAGCTATTGCAGCTGTTCTGGCTTTCCATTGCTGCTGCTGTTATTATTGCTGGTATTTTAAACAAAAGAAAATAGAAGATCCCCTGGAAAATTCACAAAGGCTACTAATTGATCATAAGAGATCAATTGAGAGCTTGTAAAAATAGCTCTTTCACATTGCACGGAGAAAGCTTAGTTTGGAGACAGAAGGGACCTTGGAGGTCATCTAGTCCAGGGCTTTTCAACCAGTGGTACGGGTACCACCTGTGGTACATTGGCACCTGGCAGGGGGTATGCAGCCATCCTAGAAAAGGGGTAGTGGGGGAGGGGAATGAGCTGAACCGGTGGCAGCACCGCACAAGCCTGAGTGAGAGACGGCTGGAGCTGCAGGGCTGTCAGGGCTCAGCAGAAGCGCCAGGATCAGCGCCAGGATCCAGCTGCAACTCAGCGCTGATCCTGGTACTTCTGCTGAGCCCAGAAGAAGCGCCGATCAGCTGGACTGTTGCAGTCTCTCCAGGCTCTTGTGATTTACATTCAGATGCTTGGCAACTGATTCATATTTATGACGGCCACAGTGTCCCAGGGTCATGTGAAGTGAGAAAAACCTGCTGCAACCACCCAGCAGATGGGGGGGATAAAAACCAAACACCCCCCCACCCCACCCCCGCTGCCAATCCTCAACAGAAATGCTCACAATGAAAACCTTGGACAGGAGGAAGAGCGCTGCCAGGTGAGCAGGCAGGTGTCTTGCTCGGCTGTGACTTGGCCACTTTTTTCAGTGTCATTGTAACTTCGAACAGTCATTAAGCAAACTGTTGTAAGTCGAGGACTACCTGTACTTTATCACCTTTTTTTTTTTTTTGGTCATCAAGTTTTTGACACCTTGCTAGGCGACTGGTGGTCCTCGGATGTTGCCGTATCCTGAAAGTGGTACCATGGGTGAAAAGGTTGAAAAGCCTTGTTCTAGTCCAGCCCCCCCCCCCCCCGCTCAAGGAGGAGGTCCTGTACTATTTCTTTCATTTCATTTAAGCAAGACTTTTCTTGCTCGGATATGAAAATATTGGAGACTTCTCTCAACCTATCTTAGATGAGTGGGAGGAATTAAAACCAGTGGCAGAATGAGCTTATCATGGCCATTAGTCATCCCAAACGGAAGCAACATTCATCAGCTGCTGGCTAAACAACCAAAATATTATTGAATATAATTCAGAGGCTGCCTGATTGCAGGAGACACAGGGTAGGTCACATTAAAGAAAAGTAAGGGCAATTTGAAAAAAAAAAAAGGAAATAAAAGTTCCTAAGAATCCGGAAGGGAAATTCAGAATTACAGAAGCCAAATTCTAAATACTATTCTTATAAATATACATATACCTGTAAGGAGAAATTTCCTGACAATGAGAACAATTAATCAGTGGAAGGGCTTCCCTCCAGAAGTTGTGGGTACTCCAATACTGGAGATGTTCAAGAAGAGATTGGATAGCCATTTGTCTGAAATTTCCCGCTTGAGTAGGGGGTTGGACTAGAAGACCTCCAAGGTCCCTTCCAGCTCTGTTATTCTGTTATTCTTCCAGCCAGCAAAAGGAGGCAAGAGGGAGAATACAGAATAACAAGAGTTGGAAGGGACCTTGGAGGTCTTCTAGTCCAACCCCCTGCTCTAGCAGGAGCCCCTAGACCAGGGTGTCCAACCTCAGAAGCTTAAGACTTGTGGATTTCAACTCTCAGAATTCCCCAGCCAGTCATGTGGTTCCAATATTTGAGAGGCTGTCACAGAGTAGAGGGGGTCATCTTATTCTCCAAAGCCCCTGAAGGCAGGTCAAGAAGCAACAGATGGAAACTAAAAAAGGAGAGAAGCAACCTAGAACTAAGGAGAAATTTCCTGGCAGTGAAAACAATTAACCAGTGGAACAGAAATTGTGGGTGCTCCGACACTGGAGGTTTTCAAGAAGAAATTGGACATCAATTTATATGAAATGGTATAGAATCTCCTGCTTGAACAAGGGGTTAGACTAGAAGACTTCCAAGATCCCTTCCACCTCCATTATTCTATTCTGTAATTTTGTATCACACTTTTAAAATTTCCTTCCTTCTAGTCTGTTACAACTTAGGGGTGGTGGGCTTGGAATAAAACATGATTTGTCATTTTCCAGGCACAGCGTGAGCTGTGGAAAATAACCCT